GATGTGAGGTCACTCCAATGTTGTTGTGAATCTCCTTTCATCACTTTCCAAAAAAATATCAATGTGGGTTTCGAAAGTTATAAGAATTGGAGCTTGAATCACGTTCTCGGGTAAGGAATTCGAGTTGCTAACAATTCGTTGAGTAAATGAGTATTTCCTAACGTCCAGTCTGCTCCTTGATTTATCCAGACTGAGTGAATGTCCTTGAGTCCTTTTATCTTGTTTTATTGACAAAGGTCCTTGTGATGCTGTTGTATCATAGACTCCCCTCAATATTTTGAACACTTCTATCATGTCTCCCCTATTACGTCTATAGAAAAACAACGGGAGTTTAAGACGACGCAATCTTCCTCGTATGAAAATTCATTCATTCCTGGCAGTAATTTAGTAGCTCTCCGTTGGACACTCTAGTGTAGTTATTGTATGTACTCCATATACTCTAGATGGGGTCGAACTAAAGCTTTATACAGTAGGCAGTATTATCCAAGTATGTATATGTTCTTCTGATGGCTCCAAGTATTCGGTTTACTTTTACTATACGGCGACTTGTATATGATTTCTAAAACTTACTTTATTGTACACAATTATCCAATGGTCTTTCTCTTCCATTTACTCAGTTTTCTTCTTTCCCAAATACAATGTTTTGCATTTGTCCGGGTTGAATTTTAGCAACCATTTTCCGACCTTTGTTGTAAATTGTCTAGATCCTGCTGAAGATTGCTATTGACCCTGGTGTCTTTATACAATTTAGTATCACCGGCAAAGAGTAGGGCGTTCGAATCTGGCAGGTCATTTATGAACTGAACAAACAAAATTAAGTTTCTTATTTGTAGTTACAAGATTTAGTTACATGATATAAAACTTCAGAAAATTAAAAAGTTAACAAAGTATATATATATCTGAAGAATCTCCTAGAAGAGATGAAAGTACTAAAGACTTGTTGTTGAGAATTTTTCTTTTTATAATATTTCTTCGTCGGTAAGGATATTTTTCTGATTTATTATATATATATATATATAGGGACTGTCAACACTCTTATTCTAGTTCGTTAGAGTCCAGCAACAAGTAGACTAGCGATTGTCATTGCTGTGCCGGCCGCGGTCACCGTACCTAGAGAGGACTGGGTTGAAGAGGCGTACACGTAGCTATAGCTGGACACACTCTATTTCTACTTTCTACCTTTTAACAATCCAACACCTGCCTACTGTCTATCCTCTTGACATTGCACCACCCGTCACGTTATAGTCAAGTGTGACCGCGTCGTCGTGCGATGTAGAGAAGCCAAACGTCAATGTCACAGTAAGGCCATCACGCTAACAAATGTATTAAGTCTAAATAGAACATCTTTAGTTTTAGAACTTTCAATAGCACAGTGAAGCTGTTCATTAATTCGGAAGATAACCATTATTTAGTAACTGCGATTCAAACTTAGGAGGGTTGGTTTTCTCATTCACACTACCCTTTTGTAACATTTACAATTGATAACCTGCGGTAGTTTTCTACTCTTTTAGTTTGAAAACCCAGATTTAAGGTCTAAGGTCAAAGATCACATTTAGCATTTAAAGATTTCCAGTAAAACACATGTGTTGTTCTACAGTAATGACAGACTTGTTTCAGTGGCAATTGGGGACATTAGTTACTAAGAGTCTTTTCTTTCATTATCAATTTTTCCCTTGCACAATGATGTGTGTGGGATGGTGCTCTTTCTAAACTTAATCTGCAATCACTACGAACTAGGTTCTGTCTCTTTCAAATACAGTTTATCCAGTAACATATTTCTCCACAGAAAAAAATATAACAATTCCAATTAGACATTACTTTTAAATTTTATTCCTGTGTAAATTGAGTTTGTCTGAAAATACAGGACGGATTCAAAAAATCACATTTTCTATTTAAGAAAACCAACATATATATCTTGTAAAATGACATGACTGACTCAAACACTGTAATAATATGCATATGAAATAAATAAATATACATGCCACAAAGATAATGGTGCTGGATTTTTGGTCTAGATGAATCAATCCCTACTTACATTGTAATCTTAAATAATATATACAACATACTTTATATTTAGCTATCTGGTTCAAGGCTATTCCCCCATTTATTAGATTGACAGAAATATGTATATAGAAATAATTTTTCTTCAGCACTATGTCTTCACTGTCTTCAAAATGGTAATTTAGAAAATATAATTACATACAAAACTAATTTTACCTCTTTTCTGAGAATCAGGTTCAAGGTTCATTACAGGCGAAATATAATAACAGAGCTTTCCTTTTATCAACACCCTGTGCATGCTGTATAATGCTTTAAACATAGTACAATCAACTTCCCAATACTTATTGACTAATTTTTATATCCACAAAAAAAAACCAATTAGTACATCTTAATAAATAACAGATTAACGTGATATGGGTAGAACATACTGTGTATGATGAAAAATATCGAAACTTAATTGTGATGAAATATTATCCTATATCAAAAACGTCAACAGGAAAGGTGATTAACCCTTTCACCCCTATGTAACTAAAGTAGACTCTTCCATGCATTGATATGGATGAGTCTATTATGGTCTACAGTGGTGAAAGGGTTAAAGGGTGAAGCACCTTGGCAAAATCCTACATGTATCATCTCATTTAGAAAAAAAAATCTTTTTTATTTATATCACAGCTTTGCTAAAATTGATCATAAACAAACAATGACATTAATATAATAGTATTATGTGTGTTCCATTGTACATTTATATATTATGGTTTACCTACATTTATGTATTACATGTATTTACTTTGTGAAAATAAAAAATTGGATGCATTGTATTCTTAAAATGTATTTTTACACAAGTTCAGGTTTTGTAGCAATATTGAATCTTGCTACAGTGAACAAATAACAAAATACAACATCACATAAATCTTTAACAAAATTTGAATTAGTTCTCAATCATACATTAACCAATCATATGTATTTGAGCTTGCTCTGTAATGGTGGCACCTATTGTAATTAAGAGTGGGGATTGGTGGGTTTATATTTTACTGCAGAAATAGAATAGGTGTGAAGCTTTATGAACTTGGTGATGTGTTAAAAATTTCAAAAATGGTATGAGGCATTCATATTCTGAGGATGGTTCTCCTCAGGTGGTATGGGGCATTCATATTCTGAGGATGGTTCTCCTCAGGTGGTATGAGGCATTCATATTCTGAGGATGGTTCTCCTCAGGTGGTATGGGGCATTCATATTCTGAGGATGGTTCTCCTCAGGTGGTATGAGGCATTCATATTCTGAGGATGGTTCTCCTCAGGTGGTATGGGGCATTCATATTCTGAGGATGGTTCTCCTCAGGTGGTATGAGGCATTCATATTCTGAGGATGGTTCTCCTCAGGTGGTATGAGGCATTCATATTCTGAGGATGATTCTCCTTCGACAGTACTTCCCGGAGTTTACTGGAGATTACACTATGCTTAATGTCGTAGTATTAAATCCAAACATGTTGTTCAATTAATTTTACATATTAGGATATATATAAAACTTAGCCCTTCTTACATAATACTATCCATACAGCCGCTCAGACTAATTCACATTTCATTTTCTTTTTATGAAACAGTTTTCAGCAAGTTCTTGAATTTCATATGGAATCAAATGGGAATAAGACTCTTTTCATCACATGTGACAAAATGACCTGAACTTGCACAAATGAAAATGCCACCATGTTTGGTTGTGTCACATTATGACATGAGGCGATGTTCCTCGTCATGTTCCAATTCACGATACATGTAGTACAATGTATTATTTCATATATTTATTTCAATCCAACATACATGAAAAAGAACGATGTTGTATCCCGACTGTATGTGAGAAATGTGTGTACTGGGGTGGTAAATTAGGGAATAAGTTGTTAGCATCTCTTTAGCAATAAACCTATCAACAATTCCTATTTCATCGACAAAATTATCAACCATGTGAAAAGCTGGCATCCATTTCTGGAAAGTCTTTCTTTAGCAATTTATAAATACCAAAATACTACATAGTATTCTCATTTTCAAGCAAACCCCCACCCCCCACCCCATAGATTTTTTCAAGTCATGATTAGCTTAATCACAAATTAACGAAATACCTCAGATCTCCAGTCAAAGCTGTCACAGTGCACTCTTATAGCAGTTGGTCTCTTTATATCATATGTCAGTTAACTATAGTGTGGAATTGCAAAAGTGGTGTCTAAACACAGATGGTCTCTTAACTCATTCACCCCTGAACACACAGTTGAACTCTGCCAATTCAAAGGTTGGAATAGTTCATTATGAAATTTTAGGGGTGAATGAGTTAATAGATGTGGTCTTTCAAGCAGGTTAGACTGCATAATGTTTTCAAAAAAAAAAAATCACAAAATGTGCAAAATTATTTTAAAGATAGTTTTAAAATAGATGCATCTCTGGTTACACAACAAATAGTTTTTTTCTTCAAATAATTACATATATAACGAAAAGCTTAAAAAAAAAAAAATCGTTGGATTTAAACATTAGTTATAAATTGATTTGAAAGCAATACACATGATTTAATATAACAAATCAAACAGAGTCTGTAAATGCTGCATCAATTATTGAAAAATTACAAATAATTTAAAAGCATTTGAGAGAGTCAGATCTGTATTGTATCTTTATCACACAATGATAAATGTTTAAACATCTCTTGATTACCAAGTCGCCTACAGATCCTTGATCAAAGGATGAACATTTTTTGCATACAGTAAATTATGGTAGCATCATAATGACTACATTATCTGTACATGCATATCTTACCAAATATATTTGAAATAAGTGAAATTTTCATTCAATTATTTTGTCTCCCGAGCCACACTATTGTAACATTGGACATTTTCACATGTAGAAATGTTTGTGTCATGTCTACTTACCCATTTTTTTTTTTATATGAAACCGGTAAACAGATCACGGTGTGGAAATATTTACTTTGGCATCTTTATAATTTATAAATAAATATTCATGTGAGGATATTTTCATGCTAATTTACTCAAAGCAAAAAACACAAGCATATACAAATTTTTCATCATCATTACCTCTCACTCATAATTTCTGCCAAAGCGTGACATGTTTATGCCAACACTGTACTGTAGACAAATTTCTCCAGTGAGATTCCAGTTAATCTTTACATATTGTCAAAAGCCACCAGAAAAATCACACAGCTGCATTTTTCCTCAATTTCTTTTAAATTTCAGTCCAATTTTCGATCATATCAAATTCCGAATTATTACCAAGTAATGGAAATCTTATAACACTTGGATTTGTTCTTTATTTAAAATCCTTTTTCAGAGGTATACACCCCTGTGCTGCATTCTTAGTCTGCTCAGCGTTTTATTCTGTTCAGTCTACTGTTGTTGTGCTACCTGTGTCGCTCATCTCGTCGGGCGCTTTTAACCTCACTCTTCGCTCCCTCACCGATTCCTTGATGGCTTCTATTTTTGCTTGTTCCTGTTTATTAATCTCCTGGCGCTCTCGTTCTCTTCTTTCCCTTTTGGAGTCAATTACAAGCTTGGCACACACATCTAGGGGAGCTGGTTCAATAAATTCACTTCCTGTGAAACAAAGATATTTAAGGGTCAGCTTATTTACATATTAATCCAGGTAAGATTGATATCTGTAAAAAAGTAATGCTGAATGTCCAACAACAAAAACCAGATTGATTTTTTTTTATATAAAACACATATGAAGAACTGTTACATTAACTTGTTAAAAACAAATACTGCATTTATAAAATTTCCTTCTAAGTGTATTAATGATATGTATGGCTAGCTGATTCTGTAAAGCATACTACTTACACCGAATAATTGTTTTATTTCAAAGGTGCCAGTCAAGCTTACAGCTAAATACAGCAGCAATATCGACCTGAATTAAGGTATAAAGGGTATCCTAAAAACTACTTCTACAATAGAGTGGGGAATTACAGAATTTGATACCAACAGAAACATAGGAAACAAAGACAAACAGAAATTCTATTTTTGGGTTTTTTAAAGTTTGGAAAAGATCAATTCAAAATAAGATACAGTATATAAACAGATTGCTTTTAGAACTAAGGTAGACTCTATTGCGTCTTTTCGTATTGCAGAGTTATCTGCTCTTGTGAGCAGGTATTGATTGTTACGTCATTTGTTTGAGATAGTAACGTCATCAATTTTTGAGAAAACAACGTAATTTTCTCACACAAACCAGTGACGTAACAATCAATACCTACTCAAAAGAGAAGATAACTCTGCAATACGCAAAGACGTAATAGATTTCTCCATCCAATTCATGGTTGGAAATAATAAAAGAAAAGATAAAGATTCTAAATGCCACAAAGATAGAAATTTTAGAAGAACTTTCTAAAACACAGTGTCATTCTTATATGTAACATAACATTGTTTGAAGATCAAAATTGCATTTATGTTTAATTTTCTACAGGACGTTCAGATGAACTGATAATCTACAATTGTCATGCATAACCTTGGCATGCTGAATACAGTAATTACTACATACATCTATATACATCTAAAACAGTAAGTTCTATATCTTCACTACAAATCATACTTATTATCTCCCCTTTGTCATTGGTGTACCCTGTGAAACACAAACAATCAGTAACAACTTTATTGGCATTGGTAGAATAAGGCATAGGGAAAGATTCTGAGCTGTATATGATAAAGAATTGATAAAGATGGTGGTGATCTCTAGATCTAGCTGTGTGTTGTTTAAGATAAATGGAGGTTCCCCAACGAGTGATATTTGGTTATCATGTTTATCTAACTCGAGTTAGTTAATCTTCAAATTGTATAAAAACACAAGGTTTACCAAGTGTCTTTTACAATTTGAAGATTAACTAAGGAGAGTAAGATAAACGTGGTAACCAATTATCACAAGTTTGGGGACCTGTTTCTCCCATAACGTTCGTATTATCGAAAAACCCACATTTTCCCCCTGGAAGAAACAAGTGCCATGGAGCATGATGTCACAATGGAAAATGACGTCAAAAGACATTGTTACGTGTCGTCATAAATCAAAGATTGACCAATGAAATCATGTCCGAGTGCTACCCACTAGTGGGTATAACCAAAATGTTTACCAACTCCTGGCAGGTTTATCCAATGAGTCATGAGTGAGGAAACCTAGGACGAAACTATTACTGTACCAGAAAATAATCGTCTACTATATAGTGTATTTTGATTAAAGAGGAGCAGCAGCGTAAGGAAAGAACATGACATGTTTATTGTAAATGGTCACTGGCAAAGGTGAACGGCTGTCTATAACATGGTAAAGCAGGTAAGCTAATAAATGACTTGTAACGGAAATGTCTTTTGTGATGGGGATCAATTGTCTGCCTGTAGCACTTCCACTGGAAATGGTGTGAATGTCTATAAACAGGGAAAAGCTGTTGAGGTATGGTTCTCTAATGTAGATTCCACTTGATAATAACATGAACAAAAGATGCAATTGTAATTTAATTAACTATGAAAATTTACCTACATTTAACTAATTTATATATATTTTTTGTCATCATTTTTGTACAGTATGTAGCCTGATATGGAAATATTACCTGTGAGAATATGGTCATTCAGGACAGATATTGACTTACAATTTGAACCTTAAAATTTGAATTACTACAATGATTACTAAATATCTAGCCACTCTGTTTTTCTTTTTCTATTCTTGTTTTCCCAAACCAGGCCAGAATAAAAATATTGTGTCCTGTCTACCTAAACGTACTGACACACTGTAACCTTAGCAAATTATTTTATTTGATATCTAAAATATAATTATAAGTTCCATTTTGATCAGCATTTTTTGTGTATCCACATATACCGTCATATTAAAGATCTAGTTTAAACTATCATTCATTATATTCTAAAAATGAAATATTTTTATCAGGTTATATTCATTAATCTGCATTTTATAAACAATCAATTATAAATTAATTGACCTATTTTAAAAGAAGGTAGTTTTGAAAGTTACACAAAAACCTATCTGTACCTATGTATTATTTAACACTCCATACCAAATTAAAGGGATGCCAGGGAAACACTGATATATATCTTTGATGTGGCTTAAACTATATTGAATTAACTATAGTGAACCATTGTCATTCAAAAAAGTAAATCAACAGATCTAATAACCATTTATCATCAATATATACAGCAGTATGACCTTATTTACAGGTACGTTAATACATTTCAAATGCCAGCAGCTATGATTTCATCTGAGAAGTCTATGAATTTATTAAAGACATACTGCATACTCCATACTAATTATCCATTCGTGCATTATCTATAATTTATTAAACATTAATTGTAGACAAGTGCATTTCCTATAACCAATGCTTTATTACCAAGTTAGAATCTACAGGTAAACGGTTAATGCTATTAACTTTACCTATAACCAATTCTTTATTACCAAGTTAGAATCTACAGGTAAACTAGTTAAATGTTATTACTGTAAAAGTGAAATTTTCTGTGGATTGAAGTTTTGTGAAATTTTCCCCCAAATGATTTAATTAAGGTTGTATGCTACTTGATTTATTATGCCTGTAATTTGTGTTTGAGTTATATGTCTCTTTAAATTATTTTATTTCAGCAGAACAGAGAAAATCTCCAATTACCAATTCAAAATTAGCTAAGTGTAGAACTCTTTGAAAAGGGAGATAGATATTTGACATATTTCTAATTGTGCAAATCTTTTGGAAAGAAGATGAATGACGGAGTAATGTAGCATACCTCCTTAACCATTTCAGTTACTGCCAATCCCTTCTAATGTAACATATTGTTTTCATTTACAAGAGATCATACCATGAAATTGAATACATTGAAATCATTTTATTGCATACAATTAAGCTAGTGATATGTATATATATCTATATTTGTTAACATTTTGATGAATTTAAATCTCCAAGTCTAAGTCTAAGTATTTGAGCAGATATAATATTTTTTCACCACAAAACTTTTCACTTTTACAGTATAACAGGATATAACAGGAGGGGGTTGGTTACATTAGTTATATATAAAGTCTATTCTTAACCTGAGAGTTTTAATAACTCCTTTTTGGACAAAGATGAAAACCCTGCAAAACAAAATGCTCATGATGAATGGCATTCTTCAGGAATTCAGTGTCACTAATACAGGAAAAACAGCAATGTAAACATAAAATGACTAGACACTCACATTCAGTTTTTATGAAGTACTTGTAATATGTTTATGTCCAAGTAATATGTTAGGTATATAAACTCAAATTGGAAGTTAAGAAGAATTTTGCATTTGTTTCAAAAGTGTTGAGACATCACTATCAATTTATAAAGAAAAACAAAATAACAAAATTCATCTCAATGTCACACTCAGCAACCATATATTCATTTCCTAAATATTACTTTTTTTTAACATAACTAACAAAATTCAGCTATGTCAATGTAACCAGGTATCAAATGATCACCAAGCCGATGATTTTATCCATATTTTAATGTGTAAAGGACATAAACCATGAAAACGTTACTGAGATCTGACGTCCTACCTAGAAGTTTACGAGCCTCCACCCCGTCGATGATGGGGTTCATCCATGTTGACTGGCGTGTGTTCTTCAGACCCGTTGCCTTGGGAACGTAAATGTAGAAGACTAGCTCTAACATTTCAGACTTCTTCAACCCGCGTCTTTTGTTTATTTGACCTGGGGGGGGAAATCAAAAAATTAATTGCAATCAGATACCAGATTTAATTTGAAGCCTGGGCTTCAAGGAAACCCTCACTCCATGCATATCTGTTTATATATATACAGTGTTGGTTACTTGAGGGCAAGGTCAAATAGTTTGACCTCATGAACCTCATATCATTACACCATACAGTGACCACCTGACCTTCACATCAAATCTGACATCCACATATAAAACGGAAGATATCTTCCCGAGACCTTTGTCTTTGCTCTTACTTAACCTTGAGGCTGAGGTTGATTGAACTGACTCTAATACCAGACATATTCCTTGATTACAAGGTACATACACTCACAACCAAGTTTATACAGAAATTGTAGTCAAGATATGCCTTAGAAGCTTGTAGTATACCATTTTTAGTACTTGAGTTCAAGGTCAATTTCAGGTCACAATGACCTCATTTTAGAATGTGGCACATTGCTTTTACAATTAACAAAAGTTGGAGGCCATTCATTAAATCTGTGGCTGAGATATGCACAGTGAACTCTTATTTTAGTACTTCGGGTGAATTTCAAAGGCCTTTTTGGTCAATTGCAGGTACAAAATATGAGGTTATCTTTCTCATAATATTACCAGGTATTGAAAAAAATGTAGTCCATGATAATGGCCAGTAGTCACTTTTGTAATGTCAAGAATACAGCACAGAAAATGTTTCTTCATCAAAAAATGCCATTATGTGAAATCACCAAAAGTCCAGGTACATCAATACATATACCATCAATACACAATTTGTCACCATGAGCATGGCAGGGGTATCATCTGACTGACCATTACAACATCAAAGTCTCTTTTTATTAGATAACGTCCTTTTCCAGAAAGGACTGGTATTCTAAGGTAACCTTACCCTGTAGGATAACATCAATGCCCTCGTCAATTTCAGCCCTGGAGGGATAAAGATCACATTCGCGGAAAAATTGATCCATGTCTGTAACCTCTAGCTCTCCACCGTAGGCTTTCTTATCAAAGACGCTCTCATATCCTGTAAAGGTACAGAACACAATAGAATAAAATATAGAAATGGTGAAGATTTCCATTTTGAGTAAATGTAAAGGGCCAGTTTCTAAGAGGAAACTCACACAAACTATCTATGGCTACTATATTTTCTTAAGTACGTTTATTTTTTCATTGAACTAAAATTGGTACTTTCTCTCATTAATATTGATTTATTTGTAAAATAATGTTTACACTAATATAATATGCTAAAAACTGTGTTCAAATTTCCTGTAAGAAAAGTAGCATTTCTTTCTTCTAATCTTTCTGCATTTTTTTGACAGTTTTTCATTAAAATGATATCAAAATCCAAAATAAAAGTTGATAAAACAATCTTACAATTACAAAGTAAAACTGTTAAACAAAATCTAAAAATATATACGTCTTCTCATATCCATGTAGTCACTCATGTCCTTGAAAGTAAAAGGTGTCCTGGCGCGCTCCACACCGTGTCTCCGTTGGCAGCGTGCCAGTGTGCCCTTGTAATCCCGAACTAACTTCTGCCATGTTGTTCCGTGCCACTTAGCCTGAAACGTTAGAAAAGTAATCATTTACATCACAGGAACATGTAACATCAATATCTTTTTTCTAGATTCACAAAATATACATTGATGAATGGCATTGTCATGGTTATCATACGTGCATGTGATTTTTGTAATATGGCCAGATATCAAAATTATAAAGTTCTGAAAAAGGATTTCAATTCTGAAGGGCAGTTTTTGGGAAAAGGATAAATTTTCTCAAATCACAACTGAAATATTACAATACTTAAATATTTACATTACATATTAGAAATCAACAAGGCAAAGTATTGCAAGGCAATCAATAGTCCCCCACAAATAATGATTTCTATATTTAACTAACAGTACACTTATGTCCAACTTTTTCAAAAGTAAAGATCAAAGGTCAACTCATATGTCACAGTGACCTAATTCATGCACTCTGCCATCCAAAGATGTCCTTGTAGACCAAATATGGTTACTCCAGGTGAAATAGTATAGAAGATATGCCCCGGACAAACTTTTTCAAAAGTTAAGGTCAAAAGTCAAAGCATATTATAGGTCACAGTGAGGTCATAGAGACCTTCTTCTTGCACTCCGCCTCCCATAATGTCCTTGTACACCAAATCTCGTTACTGGACCATGTACAAAATTTAAGAAGATATGTCAAGGACAAACTTCTCGGACAGAAGGACGTACGGATGGAGTGCAAACCTGTAGTCCCCCCCGGGACAGGTGGGACTGATAACATCAGAGAATCGATGAAATTTCTGAATATTCAGGCTAAAAAAGCTAAGAGCATTTGTGATATACCTGGGCCAATTCCATGAAGAGTTCAGAATTATTGATTATTCAAACTAAAATCATGGTACCAGCTAGTATTTAATATAGTTAAGTCTTAGGTCCTAAAGACATCATAACAATAAAGATTCAAATTGTAACAATTTACACATATGTAGTGATGATTATGTACATGTAATGATATCAGATGGTCCATAAATGTAATACCTTTCTCTTTAACTTTTCAAACTTTTTCCTGACCAGGAAGCCACGGATGTGTCTCTGTATGTGAGTGGCACAGTGGGACAACTCTTGTTTGGTCGGCCCCACCTGCTTTGGATGGTAGATTCTGAAATTTTTAAATAATATGTATTCATTTAATAGGTTTTAAACAAATTCAACAAGAAATTTGCACACAACTGTAACACTTACATGTCAGCCAAGGCCCTGCCATGCCTGACATTATGTATCCCAAAACTTATTGCAATGCAGGAATCACAGCAATCATCTTGGATTAAAATATCAGTAATAATGTGGTACCTTACCATTTATTGACAATTATGAACAGAATCAGGTATACTGTGAAGTGGTCTCAGCCAATCAAAAGCCATGGCTACCATTTTGGATTATAGAATCCTTGGAGTGTTTTCTTATTCACCATAAGTACTATCCAGGAAGTAACAAGCCATTCAGATTGATATGTTTCGCCTGTGCCCCGCTTTGACCATAACTGCACATGTTGAATCGGTTGGTCGAGCACCTACAGTTGCAGAGAAAGTAACTTAAACGCAATAACTTAATGTTGATGGAGATGCTGACAAAGTCTATGGACCATGAAAGGAAGGCAACATCCAGCAGTTGATGCATGGGTTGAGATGTACTATCTAAGATGTTTCTATGGTCCAAGTTTGGTGGGAGTATCACTAATATACTTTCACTGAAAGCAACTTAAACACATAAACTTAATGCTGCCGCCGCCTCTGCCGTTGCCACTGCAAAAGCAACACCTAAGCCTCCCTTCCGCTACTTTGTGGCGGCGAGACAAAAAATACTATGAAGCATGAAAACAATCATACCAATAGCACAAAAGTTATATCCTTATAAATAAGCCAATTAGAAATGATGGACAGTGACCTTGACATGTGACCATCTTTGATTTCAGGATTCTAATGCAATATTGCATTATTCAGGTTGGTTATCCACTAAATACAGTCTACCACAAAAATAGCCGCTGGCAGGTCATGATCAGAATGGGCGATACCTTTTTGATAGTATATCCCCTTGTTCTATTTTATGTAGCAGTCACCTTGACCCTAGGAATTTGTTTAACCTTTTTATTGCACATGCATCTACATACAACATTGTATTTCCATATGAAATATCAGAAATTGTACACTGATTCTGGCAGGGCCTATCATTGTAGACATATATAATATCTCTCAGAAATACATGTACTTAAATACACATAAAGCATATATATAATATACAGTTTCTGGAAAAATTAAATATTTGAACTTTAATGAAACAAAAGGCCCAAGGACCTTAGCGGTCACCTGAGTTATATTATAGGTACTGTTAGCTTACTTTTATTAATGAGATTTGATGTGGAAATCAACATGTAAACAAAGTGACATATATTATACTTGTCATGTCACCAAAGCATAAGAACTTTAAAAACTGTTCAAATAAATTATTTTGCAATTGAGAAATATAACATGTGTAGCCAGTATTCCTCTTTGGCCAACCCCGGGGATAGGTCAGGATCTAACTTTCTGATACTATTAAGTATTTGATTTTTATTTCATCATAACTATTCCAACTAAGTTTGAATTATTTCTTGCTGAAATGGACAAGATATAGTCAGAAGTGTTATTTCCCTATATAAACCAAGGAGAACAGCTGACCAAGGGGTAATAAAACTAACAGTTTATATGATGCACCTAATGGCATTTCCATCCATAAAAGAAATTTGAATCTCGTACCTTCTGAGATATTTTAAATATCAGCTATTTCCCCTTTCAGTATACCCAAAAGTGTTATATTCCTATATATAAACTAAAATAAACTTTACCCCCTCCCCAAGGGAGAACAGATGGCCCGGGGTTCTGAAATTTACAATTAACATAAAGCCCCTGATGGTCTTTCTATCCATGCAGAGAAATTGACTGTAGTACCTCTGAGTCTGGAGAAGAAGATTTTTGAAATAATAATTAATTTTCCCTTTGGGGCCCCGCCCTGGCCCCTGGGGTTGGGGTACATAGGAATCCCAATTTTACAATTTCGTGGGAATCCCAATTTTACAATTTCGTGGCATCATCTACCAAGAATGATTCTGACCAAAATTCCATCCATCGGTTCTTGAGAAGAAGTTGAAAATGTAAAAAGTTAACGCACGACATACGACGAAGGATAGAAAGCGATCAGAATAGGTCACTTGAGCAAAGCTCAGGTGACCTAAAAATAACTAAAAACAACAGTTCCTGTTCATTTCTATAATACGACATGACACTATGAGGAATTCCAAGTATCGCCTGTATTCACAGTTTGATACATCACCCTATCAGACTCTAACAAGTGTCATACTTGTAGGATACTTACTCATATATGTTGACATGTGGTCCAATGACTGAGAGCTTTGAGGACGCCTGGTGGAAATTTTTAGCGTTTCTGGAGGTTAGAAGCCAAACAAAGCATAACAATACCATCACCTCACAATAACACATTAGTACACAGTTCTATTAGTAGGATAGAAACACTTCATCAGCAAGTTTCTAAATCTGAAAATGTGTATGGGGAACTTCCTTGTTATTTCAATGTATCTTGGCATACATAAAAGTACAAATATATTAAGTAATGTTTCAAAATCTGGTTTAAACTTTAACACCTTTTGACAAAGATATATTTGAGATTTTTTGAAATGCTGATAGCTTTGTTTGATATTTTTTAAAGAATTTCAACGAGGAAAGGAAGGAAAAGTAGGGGTGGGCTTATTACCAGGCATGGGTTTATCATTATCAGGTAAATGAACTAGTTTTGTTTTACATTTTGACATTTAAGAAACAAAAACATAGCAGCAATGTAAGAAACGTATGACATCGGTATACACTATATATACACTCCATATACATCAACACAAGGAATACTTTTAGAACACACCATGAAAAATATTCAATGTGTTTGTATGATAATAATTAGATTAAAATGTTAACATTGTTCTTGACATTGTAGTCCTTGTTGATGACCTTCGGCTACATGACAACACACTAGCAGGGTTCCGAAGTCTAACTTACCCTAAAGGGCCAGCTAATTTACTAAAACGATCAAAGTGCCCCAAACACAGATCAATATAGAATGATTTTAGTCTTTAAAGTTTATTAAGCTAATTACAACGATAACTATCTGTGTCTGATCAAGGTCTTGTTAGTTTTAGCTATTTTACAGATTACACAGTACTACGGTATACGTAGACTGGGGAGGACTGAAACCTACCTAACATCTGACTGACATAAACCATAATTATGATTGAACAACAAAATAATCTCAACAAGATAGATATTCAAGTTTTTGGAAATTTTCCTGGTCCACTGGATAGAATATCTTTTTTGGCTAAAAATCAATTTTTATATTTGTTTAGGATATAAAGATGTTCTCAGTAGATAACAGTATGAATAAGGTATATCCAGGTATGTAACCAGCGAGTATAAAGGTTTCACCCCATAATCATTGTTAACATGTAAAGGGTTTGTTTACATATGAAGGATTTAGAAATACATATAGTTTAAGTTAAATTTGGAAATAAGGTTAAACTATTTATTTAAAATTAATGAAGATTTAAAAACATAGATTTTATCCTTTATGAGTGTTATGTAACGATAATTTAGTCATTGTGAATGAATTTTAAAAAAGATGAATATTAAATTCACTGAAAATGCAAACAATTATGAATGAGTTTCAGTTCAACATGCATGCATAATATTAAATATGGAAGCTTAAAACCAATTAAATTCATGTAGAATTGTTAAAGAAAATTTAACGTGTTACAAGAATATTAGATTTAAATAATAATTAATTAAATTAGGTTTGATTTTATCCTGTATGCTCTTCTATTAGATTTCCAACATTTTCATCCCTGTTTAAGAAAAACAAAAGACCATTACATAACTGATTTTGAATCACCAGTAAGTGTATGTTATTTCATTTCTGGATATAAAGTTAAAAGTGTGAGATGTTTCACAACATCAGTTTCACATTTTGATATAGAGATTATGAATAATTCTATATGATAACGCAGACTCTCATGATGATATTCGACGCAAAACATATTATTGACCATTTTATAAATCTATTTTTAAGTACTAAAGATGTATGTATAGAGATTTTGACCAATGATAATTAAGTAGGAAGTAATATTTCCCTATTTATTAGATACATTTTTCACAAAATTGAGAAAATTGGATCGATTCAGAAATTGCGATTCTGAATATTTTTTATGGAAAACCTACAGCTGTCTGTCCAGTTTAACTATTTGTTTTCAGTTGCAAATGGTCAATCCACACATTGACATAAAAGTCCTACATTAGGAATAGTATCACTACAGGCACACACTGTTCCTATCAGCCTTTGTTATTGGGTCAAACAGTTGTGGTCTTGTTCCTGGGAAACATTGTGTGGTTGACGTGTTGTTCACTTGATTGCTGATAGTCCAAAGATCTAACAAACTGTTCAACTGAAGAAAAACTAATTTATTTTTCCCTTATTCTTTTGAGCCATGAATATACCACAGAAAACAAATCTACAAACATTACCACTATTCAGTAAATTAACTAGAGATATTCTGATTACACTGCAGTACCTGAGCTTAGAACAGGGATTACCAAACACACTGCTAATATAACTCAATCACACTTACTGATCTGCTAGCTCCTCCATTTTCTTCTGACGTATTCCTGCCTTTTCATCCTTAATCTTTTTCACCTTGTTTGTCCATTCCTTATCCTCTGTCGTCCGAGGCGGGCGATTATATATCTCAGCCTTTGCATTTAAATGTTCCTTGTATTTTCTGGAAAGTTTTGTCAAAGGAGAAATGTTAATGAAAGTTCTAAACCGCCCCAATCAATTAACAATAGGTATAAGTTCTAAACCGCCCCAATCAATTAACAATAGGTATATCTTTATATTTTCTACAAGGAATGCATTCAACGTTGGTTATTTTTACACAAGGAGTCTTAAATACAGTTACAACACTAGGTCCACGTACTACAATGATAAGTGTACTATAACAATCAGAATATATACTCTGCTACTTTTTATGGCATAAATGTTTCCAAAATTAGTAAAAATAAATCAGATGATGTGTTAATACCATCAAGGGAATTGTTGAAGAGTGGTTTAGAAATGGTATTAAAATCCATGTCCTAAGTTGTAGCATTTTGACAAAAAAAATCACATTGACCCTAGATTTTCTTAAATCACATTGACCCTAGATTTTCTTTTAAACTATATAAACATGTACTTTTACCAAAATCATACTAAAGTTATGGCCCCTTATGTCTGACTTTTCACCCTCCCCTAGTCCCCTGGATACATGCACATCCCCTTACCAACCCAACATGGAAAATAAAAGCGAGAACTCAAAATGTTTTCAAGTAGACTGAACAGCTTCTTATAGTTGTCAAGCTGCACATATAAATCTAGAGTAAACCTTTTATATTTTAGCTAAAATGTGAATCACACTTACTTATTGTTGGCATTCTGTGTCCCCCTTTCATCTTCCCTTTTCTCTCTATCCTCTTTAATTAGCAGCTTGTATCTATTCCTTGCTACATATCCACGACATATTCTGTAAAAGAAACTCAGAAATTACTTTGAGATTCAAGAGTGAATACCATAGGAAAGAAGTATGTCAAAAAGTTATTTTTGCACATTCTGTTGATTCCAATCTACTACCAAAACCAACAATGACTTGGTTGACTAAAACAGCTACCGTATTTGCTGTAATAAGAACCCAGGGCAATTGAAATATTGATTTAATGGGGCGAAGGGCCAGGTGAGCAAAAAAAACATAGGTTGTCGCAGTTGCTGGTAATGCAAAATACCAGTTGGACACATTCGCAGTAATTATTCGTAAACTGTTTGTTCATTTTCTGAAACACTAGAAAACATTCTTGTCAGGTTGTGAGACTTTCATGTCTGATATGAAGTGTATTGTACTATATTTTTGTTAACTGGAGAAAGCCAGAATGGAGAGTGTGTCTGCCACTGGAGGTGAATAAGTGCCCAGAAAGGAAAGGGACACTTTTAAAGGGAGGGGATCTAATTACAGCAAATCACTTATAACAGGAAGGGCTCTAATTACAGCAAATCACTTATAAGGGGAGGGGATCTTATTACAGGAAATCACTTATAAGGGGAGGGGCTCTAATTACAGCAAATCACTTATAAAGGGAAGGGGCTCTAATTACAGCAAATCACTTGTAGGGGGAGGGGCTCTAATTACAGCAAATATGGTACATTGTATATCATAATGATTATTTAAAAATAGAAGACTAACTTTACCAATTTGTGTCTTTTAAAAGCCAAGGAGACACCAAAACAAGAGGAAAGACATCGTAAATCGCACAATTATGCAGTAATTGACTGAAGTTATCAGGGATAAATAACTGAAGTATCAAACAGACAATTTTTTCGTATCTACTACATGTACCTCTGTATATCAACAGCTGCCTTGGCCTCTTTCTGAAGTTGAGCTGCAGCTGCTTCTTCATCCTGAAAATCATAAAGATATTCATGTCAATATAGAGTACCTCATCTAACAAGATCACTGTGGGGGTAGAACTATATACCCCTGTTATTACATACTTAACTGACATAACTAAAATCCTTCTAACGAATTCTTGTGTTAAAGTGTCGAAAATAATATGGAATTGTAACAAGAAACTTGAGCAATGATATGACAGTCATGTGACTGACACCACTCCATATGGTCTGTTTTTAGCATCAGTTACCTTGACCTTAAAAATCCTTTTAAACTTCTAATTGTAAATTTACATATCAGTATATCACCGAGTCAAATTTCAAAAGGATTAGTCATTTGGATTCCGAGATACTAACCGTACCCCTCATGGTCTATTCTAAGTAACAGTGAACTAGACCTTAGAAACGTTTGAAACCCCTATTATAATTAATTGTACATCTATATATGATAGTGTATCACAATGTCATTTTAATAATAATAATTCGAGGTTCTTATATACTTCTTTATCACAACCTAGTTCGTAGGTCGTCTCAAAGCAGATCACCAATTATTATCCGTGGTTATAGGGCCTTTGCAACCAGCCATTATCTTCTCAATTCCCTGGGGAGCATACAGCTGGTGCTGCCAATTTCGGTTCTCACAGCTGACATTCAACATTTCTAGCACTACCCAACTGCGTACTCAATTACAGCTGAGTAGACTGGAAGAAGCGGTGTAAAGTATCTTGCTCAAAGATACAAAACAGTGCCATGACGTAACTCGAACCCGCAACCCTTAGTTCCCGATCCCAGAGTCCTACCACCACACTAACGTGCCTCTACGGTATTTTATTTTCATAAAACTTACTCTTTTCGATTCTGAGATAATCCCAGAAATTAAAATGTGGAAGGACTTTAGATGTGACACAGTCATAGATAGACAGTCAGATGGATACAATATCAATATATGAAACCTGCATCTCTGATACAGTGCCCTTATCAATTTTATACTATATAACTCAGAACAGTTGGATTCATTCTGGGATGTGGTGAAAGGAGAAAACATACTGTACTTTATCCACTTAAGCTGAAGGAATATATTTATATATTGTAAGAGGGGAAATTTCCTCACTGTGAAAATTTTCCACTTTTACAGCATATATATATGTCATATATTTTTGAAAGCCTTTTAAAAATTATTTGTATAAGAATTGCTTCCCTTTATCCATATTTTAAACCATAAAAATAATCGAGTATCACTTCGAGCACTGCAAGCACAGAAATATTATTATCCGGACCTCTGTTACGTAAGCATACTTACAGGATCTCCTATGTGAGTGTACTGGGCGATGGGTCGGCCTATGTGAGCGATGGAGGTTTGTGTGAGGGATCGTTCACGATTGGAGAGAAACCCTGGATTGGTCGTTGTCTTTGATACAGTGGGTTTTTCGTTATCCATTTTGAATTCTACATGTTTGGAGGCTTCATCAGTTGCTTCCCCTTGAGTTTGGAGAGTGGCCTCCCTTCCCTCGACCAACTTGTCCTCTGGTACAGTTTGCTCCCGTAGTATAGACATAGGCGGGTTTCCTTTAAAGTGATATACTACACATGACGTATTATAAATGGTAATTTTCCGAAGAAAATCATTTTCACTGGGATATTTTTCATTGATCAAGGAGGTCTGTTTTCCAACTCCTACACACCAGTTATGTATACCCAGTATTCCAGGATTTTTTTGACAGCATTCTAACTTTTGCTTTTTAAGTTTTCCACGTTTTAAATTATTTACAATCCCCAATTTTGAAAAAAGTTTGATGATTATCATTTACATGCAGGTGAATTAATTATGAATTCTTTATTTTCATAAAGCCCAATCCTCAGTAAAGTAAAGAAACAAATTTTGGAGATAATTTCGTCTCACAGGTCCACATACCACTTTCCCCAAGGTACATCTCCGGCATTGTGTTCTCCCGAGACGGCGCATCAAGACGACTGACCTGTAGAGAGGCACTTAAGGGGTCACTATTGGCGAACTGACTGCCCGCTGGAGCTGACCGGATGTCCTTACGAAGGTCACCCACTGTGAGTACAGACAATGCATGCTTGACTTTACTTAACCTACAACAATTCTTATAATTGATATTATCTTAATAAAGTTTAACGCATCATATGAGCAAAGGTCAAGAGGTCATTATTAAACTTTTGTTAGTAATGTTGGTAAAATTATGTATCTTGATATTTTATGTGAAGAAAGGAATAGTGGTGGAGAGAACCTTATACATTCACTAATTAACTGCTTTTAGCTTTTTATCATGTATATATATATATATATATCAATGATGTATTCACATAAATGTTTCTTTACACGTACCGTAAGTAGACACACTTTAAAGCTTGTGATTTTTACATCTCGAAAATTAAACAGATTTGAAATAAACAGAACTGCCTCAAAAATGTTCTCAATTAAAATTTCTCAACAAAAAAAAGATGTTCATATGTAAGTGTATCAAGCTACTAAAAATTCAAATAAACGTTTTATTTATGATAGATTTGTTATAATCAAAAACAGGACTGCATTTCATTTAAAATTATTTGAAGAAATCAACATGTTATTTAAAAAAAAAAATAAAAAAAAAAAGGTTGATTCAAATAAATTCTTAATTGCATTTAATAGCCTTAAAATAAACTGATGTTATAAAAATGTCAACACAAACACCAAAAATAAAAACATGGGATGTCAACACAGGTATAAATAGGATAAAAAGTGTCACCATGAGCACATCACTGAATGTCAACTTTGGAATCAACAGGATATGCAATGTCAAAACATACACCAACAGGATATACAATGTCAAAACATACACCAACAGGATATACAATGTCAAAACATACACCAACAGGATATACAATGTCAAAACATACACCAACAGGATATACAATGTCAAAACATACACCAACAGGATATACAATGTCAAAACATACACCAACAGGATATACAATGTCAAAACATACACCAACAGGATATACAATGTCAAAACATACACCAACAGGATATACAATGTCAAAACATACACCAACAGGATATACAATGTCAAAACATACACCAACAGGATATACAATGTCAAAACATACACCAACAGGACATACAATGTCAAAACATACACCAACAGGACATACAATGTCAAAACATACACCAACAGGATATACAATGTCAAAACATACACCAACAGGAAATACAATGTCAAAACATACACCAACAGGAAATACAATGTCAGCACATCACAAACAAGATATACTGTGTCTACAAAAACACCAACAGTATATTAAACTAATTGTCAAAATGAGCAATCATAGGATCATGAATGTCAACACAAGCACCTACAGGATATATAGAATATCAACATGAACATCAACATGATATATTTACCATTGAATGGCATTTATATTATATAACATTCAGATGGCATTCATTTGGGCTGTGAATGCCATGAGCCAATTGTTGATGTCATCATTTTTGTTACATTGTATACTGCTGACCCGCCCCGCACAAACGGCTGTTCTATTCATTGAACAAGCATGTATAATAAATACATTATTTGAACTAAATCATGAATAATAAGAGATTCCAAAGATGGTAAATTTAAGTATTAAACTGTTTTTCAGTCGACATTCATAGGCAATATGAATGCCAACTGGACAAAGGCAAATCCAACAAGAAGTGCTAGCCTGCTTCATTGAATTTACCTTTGTCCAGATGGTATTCATATTGCCTATGGATGCCAACTGAAAGCAGTATAAAGGTTAAATAGTCCTCTACAGGATATGTCAGCATGAGCATCTAATGGATATATATGGTACAATGTCAACACCAGCTATATACAATAAACCTATTTCTTAGCTACAACACACAATGAAATTTAATTCATATCTTTCTACCATTTAACCCTTTCAACACTGTATACCATAATGGACTCATCCAGATCAATGCATGGTAGAACCTACTAAAGTTACATAGGGGTGAAAGGGTTAAAGAGCGTTGACAGCAATGAATCTTAGGCACATTTTTGGTCAAAATAATGCTGCTTTCCATGAAGAAAAGTCACAAGAGCATTTGAAAACAGGAAGAATAGTATACTTTAAATGGTCATACGAGGCCTGAATTTAAGTTGTTTAACATCAAGATATGATGCTTCAACACCTATTGATGCTATGATACTAAGGAATTATCATCAGACATTTTTTGTCATAGGATCCTAGAAATGATTCAAGATATAAACCACTCTTTAATGAAATTCATGAATATACTGTAATGATGACAATTATACTGTAGCATATAGTACAATACTTAGCAAACACATAGTTAAACCATAATACAGGTAAAGCTCGTAGTTAATTACCTCCAGCACCTTTACCTGCGGACAAATATTTATCTTTTTTTTTTTTTATGAAAACAACACTGCCATTAATGATTAAATGTTCATACACAGATATAGAATGAAATCCATGTCCAGGCCTGCAGCACTATAAACTAGTGATAACATCAAGTGTGATTTTTTAGTGTTTGCTTAATCTTTCAGTAATTGATTTAATGGGGTTTTTTTGGTGTTCCTTTCTTTTCAGAATGATGAGATTGTATGAAGAACATGTACAAAGAAAATTTACAAACTCAGGCCTAGATTTATACTCTTTTAATCATTACTTTAATATTCTTTTAATTCTTTGTTTAATTTGTCTCGTAATATACATAAACATAAAATCATAAGCAATATTTATTTACCTTGAAAAAACAATTCTTTTATTCCAAGTTGATTTTTTCATTTTTTTTTATAAAATATTTCATTCTTTTATTAGTTCTTTTTCAAATAAGAAAAGAAATCATGTAATATTTACAAAGACCTGCATGCATTCCCTACCAAAGTTAGAGTTATAAAATAATTTTGAATTAATGTGAGCAAGAGCCTTATCGTTTAGCCCAGCAAACTTATTATTCTATCCTCCTCCAACCAACCATATCCACAGATATCAGTTACAACAAGCACTTTGTAATATTAACATATATACATGTATATAAATATTTAAGAATACACAAAAGTCATACATGTATTATATGCTATATATGCTTCACAGATAAATCTAATATAAGTTTGAGGTATAAAACAAAACCCATCAACAACTTTTACCTTTATTCTTCTTCAGCTTGTCTTGTTTTGTCACTAAATTTTGCAGTAAAATTTAAAACGAGTGAAACAGTTTTTATACTAAAATTAATTGATAAGCAATACAGATAAATCAACCTTTCCTGCCATTAAATTTTAAATAATAAAATTTTAGAAAAAAATGTAGAATGATTTCAAGATAACTTTGATGAACAGGAAACGTTTTCAATATTTTAGATTCTATATTTTACGTAAACAGTGTTATTTGAATTGATGAGTAGATTAGAATTTGCTCCGACTCACCATGTTCCATAAAGTGTCGGGGACTGTGTATAGACCGAGCATGGTGCTCCAGTCCAGAGTTATAGGCCTGTCCATACCGAGGAGACTCCTTTAGCACACGCTGGACATGATAAGGACTAGGTATGGAGGGTGGGGTCCTCACAGGAGGAGCCTTCTTAAAATACTCATTTTGTTTGCGAGCCATCCGTAACACTTGTGATGAAGCACTCTGTGTTCGCCCGGGCATCCTGCCGGCAGAACGACCAATCTTAGTAGACATGCTGTCTGGGATACACTCAAAACAATAGTTTTCAGGTTTTATTGTCAATTTTGACCAGTGGAGATTTGACCCCTTGACCTGGTAGAATGGATTAACTTTCCTCCTTTCTGTGAAATCACGATCTGTCTCCACATCAGGAGTGAAGTGCCACTCCTCAGACTTGGTGAGTTCCTGAAGGGGAGTGTCACGTCGCTGTGGGGGTGTCGGTGCACGACCTCCCGGAGGAATTGAAGTAACCTCTATGTGGACCTCACCATCGTGTAGGTCTTCACTGTGGTGCTCTACTGGGCGTGGCACAGACGGGCCAATAGGCGTGGCTTCTCTGGAGATATCTACATCACTTTTTTCCTCTGTAATCACACCAATAGGTCGGTCAAGTTGGAGGTTGACACGAAGGTCCTGATCATCAGATTCCTCAAACGCTTTTTTTAGTTCCTGTAAGAATTGATTAAAAAAAGTTTAATATCTTTTCTTACAAAAGTTATAAATGTGATAAAGAAACACAATCAAAAATGCAATTCAGTTATTTTTATCCCAATTTGATTCTTAATCAACAAGAGGCCCATGGGCCGGGCCTTAACGGTCACCTGAGTTATGTTAAAACTGATGTTATCAATGTAGCCAGATGAAAAAGAAATCATTTTGTAACAAAGGTAACTTGAACTACATGTAATGCAAAAGTAGTGTGAAAGATCTGGGTAGTATATATACTATGTACAAATAGTGGTTCTGTTAGTCAGCTGAATTATGGTAAAAACCTTAAGACCCTTCCATCTATGAAGAGTATATTTGATTCTACCATTCAGAAATTTCAGTCAATTCAACCCTTTCTGGCACCACCCATTAGCCCCTGGAGGTCAGTCAGGGCTCATATGTGCATACCATCAAACTGCTATCCAATACTGATCATTCTAACCAAGTTTGAATTAATTCCAATGGAAATTAAACAAATGTTGGTCCAAAATGTGATTTCCCTATATAAACTATAGTAAAGTTTACCCCCTCCCCAGGGGGAAACGTGAGACCCCAGGGTCATGAAAATCACAGCTTTGGTAAAGCACCTTAAGACCCTTCCATCTATGAAGAGTATTTGATTCTACCATATCTGGATCTTGAAAAGAAAGAGATTTGAAATTTTAGTCAATTTGACCCTTTTTGGCCCCGCCCCTCAGGCCCCTGGGGCCGCTGGGGACCATATCATTCACAATTTTGGTTGACCTGTCGCCATGGAAGGTTTCTGCAAAATTTTATTGAAGTTAGTTCAGGGGTTTTGGAGAAGAAGTTGAAAATGTAAATTGTTTACGGACGCACAATAGGTCACTTGAGTCTTTGTCTCAGGTGACCTTAAAATGTAATACTTCCTCTGTATAAAATTCCACACATTAGTTTTCAATATTTTTTCCAGATTGAATTTCCTTTAATTATCCCTAGCATCTTATAGATACTATATACACTTTACCTCCTCTAAGTCATCTGTCTGAGTTGTCACATCTTCCACAACCCGCAGGGAGTCGTCCGTAGCCTGAGGATCCTGGCTGTTGGCAGGGAGAAGGAGACTGATGCGTTCTGCCTCTGATGTATGCTCTTCCCCTGCCACTGGTGCCTCGCCTTCCAATGGCTCTGCCCCTTCTACTATCTCAGCCCCCTCCGCTTTCTCCGCAGGGTCCGCTCGAGGTGTGCAGTTTTCTGTTGTGTTCCCTTCACGTTCGTCCTCATACAATCTGTGGACAGAGATAGGTACCACTTTCATTTATCATCAATGAAAGTGTATGTAACAGTTACAGAGCTATCACTCATTCATCAAGCAGAAATAATAAAAGTGGTTTGACAATGTCTTAACACTTAAAGCTCTGCAGATGTCATACAGAGTCAACAAAACAAATTCTACAGTCCTGTAAATACCATATAATTCCTGGGGTTCACATCGAAAAAGGAAGCCAGCTGCTACGGAAAGAGTCAAATGAGCTTATTGTGCATAAAAGAAAGCACTGACGGAGTTATCAAACAAGTGCATATTTTATTAAGGTCTGTGCTGTTAAGGAAAAGTTCTGCTTATAATTATATCAAATAGTTATGAAGTCAGCCTAAATTAAGACCCTCAATTAAACCATCACAGCTTCTCATTGACATAACCTTTGGAAGCCTTACGTTTTCAATTAACCCCACCTTTCCCCTCATTCCCTCACAATTTATCCCTCAAACACTTTACCCCTCACTCCCTCACACAATTTATCCCTCAAACACTTTACCCCTCACTCCCTCACACAATTTATCCCTTAAACACTTTACCCCTCACTCCCTCATACAATTTATCCCTCAAACACTTTACCCCTCACTCCCTCACACTATTTATCCTCAAACACTTTCCCCCTTATTCCTTCACACAATTTATTCTCCAACACTTTACCCCTCACTCTCTCACACAATTTATCCCTCAAACACTTTACCCCTCACTCCCTCACACAATTTATCCCTCAAACACTTTACCACTCACTCTCTCATACAATTGTTCCCTCAAACACTTTACCCCTCACTCCCTCACACAATTTATCTTCAAACACTTTTCCCCTCATTCCTTCACACAATTTATCCCTCAACCACTTTATCCCTCACTCCCTCACACAATTTATCCTCCAACACTTTTCCCCTCATTCCCTCACACAATTTATCCTCAAACACTTTTCCCCTCACTCTATCACACAATTTTTCCCCCACTTCCCCTCATTCCCTCACACAATTTATCCTCAAACACTTTTCCCCTCACTCCATCACACAATTTATCCTCAAACACTTTTTTCCCCTTTCCCCTCATTCCCTCACACAATTTATCCTCCAACACTTTTCCCCTCATTCCCGCACACAATTTATCCTCAAACACTTTTTCCCTCATTCCCTCACACAATTTATCCTCCAACACTTTTCCCCTCACTCTCTCACACAATTTGTCCCTCAAACACTTTACCACTCACTCCCTCAAACAATTTGTCCCTCACAAACTTTTCTCCTCTCTCCCTCATACATTTACCATTCACTCCTTTACAATCACATGTAGGAAAGGGAAGTAATCCAGGTGTATACATATTCAAACCAAACCAAAATATATTCAAATACCTGTATGATTACACATAGTATTAAATAAATGTCAACTCTCTTTGTTACATAAGCTATGTGATTGTATCATAAAATCCAGAATTTCCATAAATAAGTTTCCATTTTATCTATCAATATGATCTCAAAATTAAAATAGATGACATTAAACCTTTCACCCCTATTTAACTTTAATCAACTCGACTATGCATTGACCTGGATAAGTCCAAGTGGTAAAAAGGTTAATCTCATAATCAGCTTTACATTTTCAGATTTGTTGTTTTAAGTATCTAGAGTTTTCCTTTTTTAAGTTAAATGGTTTTGTCCAGGTCTTGTCTAAGTGGAAGTTAATAACATTTCTGTTTAAACATTTGTTAGGATTAAACAACTAATTTAATATCGATAAGATAATCCTTCTTTATAGTACAGCTCTTTTAACTAGGGCGTCTAAAATAGTTTAATCCTACAATAAATGATTCCAAAAGTTGGTTATATGTAGCTCAGCCACCTGCATCTAGATTAGCTATGTTGTCCAGTGTCACGTTATGGAGCACCGTGTAGGACAGTTACAAATTCTCTGGTGTCATAGAATTATTCCATGTGGATGTTTAGGGATATAGAGGTGATCAGCCTGGGATTCTGTGGGCTGTCAAAACATGAAAGGTCCGAGGCAAATTCAGGGTCACCTGGAAATCCCCTCCCACCCCTGAACCCGCCCCAATAATCTAACGTTTGTCGGCCACTCTAACACTGTGACTGGCACTCTGCCTATCCACAGTCAACCCATATCCTGATAAGTCAATCTAACCTCTTCACTGCCCCAAGAATTTATCTTGGAATTTAAGATAACCTGTGATAATTTTTTGTCATGATAAAGTATTTCTCCTTCTCTTTCTTTATAAATCTATACCTATATCAGTCTGATATGACATGAAACTGGCTAAAAACAACCTTATATATAAGGCCAAGGTATGTACACAGCACAGTGACCAGCGATTCCTGGTGTCACATACAAAACACACACACACGTTATACTGGTAAGTCATCTGTACTTTTTACTGGAAAATATTTGCCACAATTAATTTCCTCCTTTTTAATGATGGCAATTTCAGCATGACAGCAAACATAAGCACACAGTTTATACTATCGTGATCGCCGGAATATGAACCCCTGCCCTTTTTTGGCAGCTGTTGAAATTAGTAGGTATAGAACAACCCACCCCCTCCTACTCCACCCTCCTCAAGATCCTGGTCCAACCCAGTAAACAGAATGTAAGTTTGGCATATTTAGTGTGACAGTAATCTGTGGACAGACTACCTCTAAATTCAGAGGAGTTAACAGGTTTGACAGTATTAGGTCAGGTACGTAACAGTTACATAGCAACTGTGAACCGTTCCCTGACATGACTTCCTTTTCGGTATTTTATGCAGCAATTCCTTTCCTGCAAGCTCTGGGAGCTAACATTGGCAAACTGGCAGTATGCATAATATATTGCTACTGTGAAAGGCAAATATTTCACCGCCTGGACACGGACGTCGTGACATGACATGGTAGACAATAGACATTTATAACTCAAAAAGGCAACATTCAAAGATTCACAGTGGTCAGAGAAAATCTTTTTTCTTTGTAATAATTTTCATAACTAAATTTGCTAATGTAACGGGTAATAAAAAATATCTTAAATTATTTCTAGCAAAAATGAATTTATAAACTTGTCCCTAAGTTTTCTTTTAAGTTCATCAAACCATAATTTATACTAAAACTTCTACTAAAACACTAGTGTCCTTAATCACATTTGAAATGGAAATTTTGGATACTTTAGTTACATTATGTATCTATCTTAAACTGATCACGGTCAGAAAACCATTTCATATTTCAAATGAAAAACCTTGGGCTTTACGTTTCTTGTTTCTTGTCAAACTTTCACAACTTCGTTGCTACAGAAACTAGTCAAAATTTCATAGTTTTGTCGCTAGAAAAGAATATAAAATTTCAGGGATAACTCCACTGTTTTTTTCATTCGCAAAAACAGAAATTCAGGCCACATTATAGTCAATAGTCCTAATGACTAGCTTTGATTTTGCAGGGTTTCTATTTTGTGTAGACTATCAGCTCTATAGCAAAAAGATATCCTCCGCAAAATAGAAATTAGCATCATATAGTGTACCCATTCTCCTAAATAATCACATGTCATATCATCATATAGTATACCCATTCTCCTACATAATCACATGTCATATCATCATATAGTATACCCGTTCTCCTAAATAATCACATGTCATATCATCATATAGTATACCCATTCTCCTAAATAATCACATGTCATATCATCATATAGTATACCCAGGCCCACTTGTATAAAACATCTCAACCTTTGAGATTTCCTCAAGTCTAAGATTTCCCATAAACAATACATTGCTTGAGATTTTCCTTAACTTTGAGATGTTTTATACAAGTGGGCCCCATTCTCCTAAATAATCACATGTCATATCATCAAGAAATCAACATGTCTAATAGAACCACACAAATGAACCAAATTAAGAACAGGGCCCACTTGTATAAAACATCTCAAAGTTAAGGAAAATCTCAAGCAATGTATTGTCTATGGGAAATCTTAGACTTGAGGAAATCTCAAGAGATGAGATGTTTTATACAAGTGGGCCCAGGACATTCAGCAAATTGACATCAGCAAAATTATGTTTATAATCATCCAGATTAACAGATTAATGTCTGCTAGAAGCACATGAGAAAGTGAACAGTTACACACATTACAAGTTTTAACTTGATGATCACAAAAGTAAACAATAAAGGCAAAGTTCTGAAGTTTTCAAATCATTTGACACCGGTTTTAATTTTTCTCACTATCAGAAATACAAACAACATGTATATATATTGTACTCTTTAAATCTATCAAAACATCTAAAAATTGAGCATTTTAGAGTAACTGAGGGTAGCAGACAGTTTTTACTATTACATTATAGATAGTGGTAGAAATAGTTTTTATCAAAAGGATCAGCAGAGTGTTTCTTTTCATAGCTAAAAAACAAGCTTAAAGAAGAGCCAGCTAAATCATATATATATATAAGTCTTGACTGTTGGCATATACTGATGTCACGGTGTGTATGTAAGTGATTATTCAGCTCCGTAAAATCATTATCACAATCAATTTTGTTCTGTAAGAAACTGAAAAAATATCACAAATCATCTTTGATAAAAAAAAATCATTGAAATGAATAACTTGTTTACTTACTGGAAATCCTGAAACTGGCTATCTGGTCGTTCCGAAAATCTGGAATGGCGACTTTGCGCTCTGCTATCTGTTAAAACAAATGAGCCATTTAAATGGTGGGTGTTGACTTTACTCTCACTGATCAAACAGTTTCCACCAACAACTATTTACTGGCAGCTATCACAGTTAGTATCGGCCCAATTCATGAAAAAAAACCTCAATCGATTGAATAATCTGAGCTTGGTGACATCCGATTGCCTGGTTTCCTGACAAGACAAAGACTTGAGTATATAATGATTTTGACACCCGAGTTCTATCTTGACGATTGGTGTCGTAAAAATCTATAAAACCCAAGTACGGGATTTATCTATGATAGACGGTCAGGATCCATGTGTCGGTATATCAGTTGATCGAGTTATCAATATACACACACTAACTTGCATGGCTTTGCCAGCTCTGGCGGCCATATGTGTTGGCTGGCTAGTCAAAACGATGTTTGTGCCTTATCAGTCCAATGTTTACCCGATAAATTCTGATATTTTATGAATTACATTGTTTCCTCTGATTTAACATTGTTTATGATACACACAGGTATATATTGTATACATCAATTTCATAATCACAAATAGCACTTGGTATTTCAGATTTTGTCCCCCTTTAATTGAGAACTTTTGAACTAAACATTCTACAGATTATACCAAGCACAGCACTAAATAAACATTTGTATTGAACACTTTGTAACCAGACAAAACAATTTAGTACAAAACATTATAACAAAATCTCTGCTTAAAATCATGAAAATTATTAAAACTCAAAAAAGATATCAATGAATTTGAAAGTATAAAAAATACTTGATATGCAAATTTCTGAACCCACTCTGTGTGAATCATCATGCTGAGTATAACTTGTCATTAATATAACAATACAACTTTTTAATTGCAAGGCTGAAAAATATATACAATATTAAAAATGAATGAACAGTTTATCAAAAAATCTACATCATATTGAAATAATAAAAAAACATCCAAAGGCGTGAAAAATATATATCATATCAAAAATGAAGGAACAGTGTCAAAATCTACATCATGTTGAAATAAAAAAAAACATGAAAATGAAAATGTTCAATTGTATTTAAGTGATATCCTTATAAAGATCTAGCGTTTCTACTTAAGAAATGTTTGATAGCGTTTGAATAGTACGTGACCTGGTACCAGGTGTGAAGCCGAGTCATAAAATATAGCTCCACCAGTATATATCTCACCTGTGGACTAATTGTCTGTTTTGACCAGAGTGGACACACAATGACCCTACATCACCAGATAATGTTCAGCCAATTGTAAACAATAAGGTGTTAAGATAAGTAAATACAGTAGTTGGCCTCCGGTTGTAAATCCATACATGTATTCCGATTTTCTGAGATAAATTGTCAAGCACTGCATATGACTACGGTAAAAGTGAATAATATTTGAAAACAAAAATCAAAAGTAAGCAACCACAGTCTATTGCTTCCCTTTGCTGTGCTTTTCAATATGAATACTCCATTTAGTTATCCTGAAGTAATTTAGTCCAACTGAAAATTTCTAACTGAAAGTGGGGGTGGGGGGTGGGGCAGGCTTATTATGGGACAATGTAAGAGCATTTGTTGGCATTTCTGCTGGAATATAATGGGTGGGCTTATTACCAGGCATGGGCTGATTGCAAGATTAATACAGTAGATTATTTTGCAACAATTTGAATACAGATATACCATTAACTAAAGACAATGTATGGAAAGTTTTGTTATAATGTTGTTGTGGCTCTAGTAGAATTCTATCTATGATCACTGTATGACACATGGTGTGTTATATCCTAAAATCATGTGAAAGCATAGTTTGAAAATAAGAAGCCATGCGTGTGTTTTTGAGTTGAAATGATTTTTCTTCAAATGTAAGGTGAAATGTAAAGCGGTGCAAAATATAGAAATAATAGGATTTTAATTTCACATGTTTTTTAATGGAATTGAAGATATCATTAAAAAGTTGTTGAAAGTAAAATAATATTTTTATGATGTATACAAATCTAGAAATTCCTTGATCCAGTGACTAGATACTGGCCAAAGCTCAGATCAAAGATGACCAGATTTTGATTCGCTGAACATGATTTTAATTTCTTCTCCTGCCCACTTAACAGAGCTCCTAATTTAGGGTTCATTATTTGGCATATCACTTCTACCCCCATTATTATCACTTCTACCCCCATTATTATCACGTCTACCCCCATTATTATCACTTCTACCCCCATTATTATCACTTCTACCCCCATTATTATCGAAGTTTTTGTTTTAGTCAAATCACAGTTTCTTTCTATGTATTTTAAATACAGGTTTATGACATATTTTTTCCATAAACATGTATTTAAAAAATATTTGGATTGTTTTTACATGGTTTCTGTGTTACTTTGACACTACATAGGGTCAATGGCTGTTATTAGCATGATGTACTGAGCTCTGCCAGGTTTTAAACTAAAGTACATGTTACTGGTGTCACCACTTTACATTTCCAAAAGTGCTCCATGAAGATTTTTGAACAAGATTTATTACTTTTTAAGATATTACACTGGCTACCAGATAAAATGATGAATGAATGTGTCGTCAATATCAGACTCTCCACAAAAACAATGTTTCATTTACATTCAAAGTTGTACACATCTACTTGTATACTTGAAAGATAGGCACAGCATAGCACAGGCAGGACGAAGCACTTAGTTTTTCAATGAGCTCGCACAGAGATAGAAATAAACTCTTCAGTTAGGCACAAGTGTGGATAAATGTCTGATAACGATTGCAAACATGCGTATGACATCATCATATTTATACAACAGGGGAGTCGCCTATTTATCAAACGTTGAAGTTTCTATACTCAAACACTTACTTTTAAAATTTTGAATGCATTTCAAAATTTTCAAATAATTTATTTGAATCAATCCTTGTTGTTTAAAAGAATAAATATTTAAATGCAGCTTAATTAAAGTTAAAGTTACAGTGAGTTTCCAATACAGGAGCCGATAGAGCTCCTCTACACTGGACTCAAAAGTTAAACAATTGTATAATATAAAGTTAAAGTTCATTGTTATTCAAATTTGCTCTATAACTATAGCAAAGTTCTTCATTCTGCCAAAGTTTATCTATTCTGTTCTTAAAAGTAATGATATTTGGAGCGGATACAACGTCCTCCGGAAGGTTGTTCCAGGTTTTGACTGTACGAAATGTGAAATAGTTTCTCCTCATAGATAATTGCAGAAAGAAACATTTTTTTCACACAAGTCTTTCATTACGTATGAATGATTTTTCTAGAACTATTTAAATATATTGATACAGTACTAAATATAGATATTTAATGTAAATGAAAAGAAACAGCTGTCATAATACGGTTACCATTTTTATCCAGCATTATAATTGAGGGATCTTATTACAAGACAACGAACAAGTCTTTTTGGCATGTCTACTGAACTGCAATTGCTGATGGAAATAGGGGCCAACTTATCTTAGAGTAAATATAGAACATTATCTCAAAAATGTATCGTGTTCATTGTATATTATTGAATATAATAATAGCTAACAACTTTTATTTGTATACCGTCCATGGTATGTAGCTAATTATCCTCGTTAGTTTCTATTGATTGAATGCGTTTTTATAACCATACCATTAATCTTTTTCTTATTCTTTAACTATCATGTAGATCTGTTTCTGTAACTTAATTTATTCCCATTAGGTTTATTTCTCCGTATTATTGATTTATTTCTCTGTTTGTACCCATCTAAACATTTAAAGGCAACTCTTACCTGTACTTTCAAATCCAAATATATTCAGTCCATGCTGTTTGTGTAAACGTCTCTAAGACACAACCAGCCAAAAACCCCAATAATATCCGTCAATGGTACAAATCATACTCCCATACCTGTGCAATCGGTGTAGATCTACAGGGCTTGTTCTAATAACCTTACAACCACTTTCCCAGCTACCCACTGTAAATCCCGAGGATTAGTTTTAAGTATTGGTGAAAGTCGAAGCAATAAACAGATTTTTATCCGTCAAATTTACCATTACCTTTACAATCGATACTCTGAGCCATTGTGAAAGCCTAGCTTACAACACACTAAATCTGGCATATTTTATTGCAATTTCTCAAATCTTTTCTGCTTTAGTGTCGTTTCAAAATGAAAATTTATTACATTATGAATTAATCATTTTTCTAGTGCACAGAAAGTTACAGTGATATTAGAGTTTCTTTAAAAAGATGAAACATTTAAACAGTTTTGTTTTTTATTGGATGTTTCTTCTACCGGTACTTATTGCTGACATAACTTTGTCTGTTTACCATGTTATATAAGACACATTATGAAATATTCAGTAACAACTTTTTCTAATACTCATTAAACATACATCTACAACCACATGTTTGGGGGGGGGGGGAAATCTTAACACTAAACTGTTGATACTATAAGTGAATCCATATACTGAAAAATGTTCCTAGCTAGCCTAAAGAAGCATGCTGGAAAATGTGATTTAAATCCCTATCCATTTTGAAAGACTTCCTTAAAGCATAGATAATTTTGTTTGAAGGAGACTCTGACAACTTAAGATTGGATGGTACTCTTACTGAAATCCTTGTAGCTGTCTTATCGCCAGATGATCTAAACATGTGCAGAAACGCTTAGTCATATGTTTTATTAGATCCTTGAAAAGTTCTCTGAGTGTTGTCGCTGGCTGGTGCCATAGGATTCAAAATGTCATTGGAATCTCACCAGCTTAAGGGTATATGGTACTGTACACATTTAACATGCAATTTATGCTTTCTCCTTTATGGATATATGGTGTGGTTTACAATATTCCTGAAATTGTTTTTGAGTTACTTCCCTTAAGGTTATATGGTACGTACTGTACACATTGAATGTATGTAAGATTTATCTTCCTTTAGTTTACACGGTAACATACTTGCTAACTTTTTGAAATTTTCCACGGGGGATATTCTAAATGCTCAAAATTAAAACATAAATAACATGTGTGAATACGTCCCCTAGAGACAAAATAACCCTTTAAAATGACATATGTGGAGTTGTTCTTTCAGATGAAATCATCTTAGAATATAGGAACAGTTAAGCATTTACCGGTTGAAAACATTAAATTTAAGGGTACAAAATCTGTTAGATTTATCCCCCTTAAGGTTATATGGTACTGTACACATTATATACCTGCTTTAGTTTTAGAGTTACCTCCCTTAAGGTTATATGGTACTGTACACATTATATATCTGCTTTAGTTTTAGAGTTACCTCCCTTAAGGTTAGATTAGGTACTGTACACATGCTACCTGAAAATTGTTTAAAGAGTCACCTCAGTGTTATAATATTGTATTGTGAATATTTTACATGTATTTTGTTTGAGAGTAATGTCTGTTTATAATATTTTAATTATCATGACTGATTATTCTGAACTGCCTGTCAACACTATCATTCTATGTGTGCACCTTAGAAATTTGATTATGTACCTTTTACATGTGTGAAAGTGTACTTTTTATAAGTGTCATTGTGAACCTTTTAGATTTATGGAAAATGTATTATCAAAATCTAAGTTATCACTCATGAAAAGGTATTTACACATTATATAGTTTGAAACTTTTGAAAACGAGATGTAAATCCCAGTTAAGTAAGCATTGACACATCTTTGGATTCTATGATAGGAACATGTTGTATGTCATATTTTCGTGATGGTTTAAAGACGGAATGGAGGGGGTGAAAGTTGTATTGAACAGAGAGGTCAAGACAAATAAATGATCAGTCGTCATCGGATATTTCAGTTTTTCAGAAATCATTTGATCTGGTTATATAACCTATGGAAGTGCTGTAATCTGAAACCTCTGATCCTATAAGCATGTGTACAGAGTACAGATTATTTTTAAAAGAAAAGAATCTACCCTTCCAGCAGTAATATGACGTTTAGTTGGAGATCGCAATCACATGTCGGCTCTGTAACTGTGATGTCATACATATATTAATCAACGTGATATCTAATGCTGTTAAAAGATACCACTTTGCTCATACTGATGATCAGGAACAAGTTTCTATTTTGGTCAGGTTTTGAGATGATACCTCCAGATGAGCACGAGAAAAGGGATGACTGTCATCTATTAAATTTCAATGTGCACAAATAGAGTTATCTCCTCATAACCTGAACAAAATAAAAAAAACTACTCCTTAAACAGTATTTTCTGTGAATAGCAGATAACTATTTTATACATGAGTCTGATCAGTGAACCAAAATTTCATTTTCTCAACATATTAACATGATATTGTGGGTCAATATAAGTAATTGCCTGAAAGGACTATATATAGTTTGGGCCTTTTTTGGCCGTGGTAACCAGTTAATATTTTCACTCAATTTTGACAGGTTTTCGCCTACTTTTGATCTTAGCTACCATAGAGCGCACTCTTGAACTAACTTCATATTTCTCCATAAGATGTATTACAGGTGTCTACACATTATCCTTTGATATTAGGTTTGTTCAAGCATGCGCTCTATAGTTTCAAAGTGAAAAACTATGCAAAATATGACAATATTCACTGAACATTCAAATTTTTCTAATTTATGCTTTGAACTTTGTTACCATGGCAACAATAATAATTAGAAATATCAATAAATATTTTCATGATAGTATTTGGAAGGATTCAAAATTAAAGAAACAGTTGTTTGAAAGTTCATTTAAATGTTGATTTCTGGTCCTATATTATAACCAGTTTATATTAAAGTGTATACATGACAATTTTAGTTCAGTATGGTATTTATAAAACAAATATATTGTTTTGCAATCCGCATATGAACTAGTTGAAATAATCATAGCCCGTAATAATGGTGTAACAATTTGGCTACTATAATTACGGCTGAAAAATGGATGAAATCTCACCCGGACTGAGCCTTCTAGTTAAGCCTTGGTTAACCCCGCCCACATATTGCTGATAGTGATGTCACACGGCCATGTGATATTTACACCTCCACCCACATGTATTGTTGTCGACATCGTGGAGACTTAAATTGTCCCCTTCTATGTTAAGGTTATGAGATGATACGTACCTCCATTTAACGGGAACAATGGATATTGAGTGTTCATTGTCATGTAGACTTAAATATTTCTAGATAATTCATGATAGAAACAAACTACACACTTTTTTTTTAGCAATCTAGCTTCCCTTATTTTCTGCGTTAGGTGATAGTTGAAATGTTTTATTATCTCTTATTATCTAGCAATACTGATAGAAAAGTTCAGCTCAGTCAGAAACACATAAAAACTAAACTTAGAGTATTGTATAAAACACAGAAATGGCCATCACCAACTGCCACAGTACATATACATACTGTTAATTTCAACATTTGTAATATAATATAACTGTGAGTATATTTCTCTGTGAATTCTCCCATCACCTACACATGCAAGTGCAGCAGACAGTAGTGACATGCATATGGTCAATGATAAGTTGATAACAGTCACTAAATCACAGTCATTGACATCAAATATGTAGTTTCCAATCCCCACTGAAAACTTTGATAACAAACAGTCACTGTTAACAAACTGCCAATCATATCACCCTGTTTGACCCTTCAGCCAATGAAAAATAAGCATTTTATTTTTTTCAGAAATCACACTTTTAGATTCCTATCAGTCCTCATTAAAATTCCAGGTATAATGATGAATATTCATGAGCTGAACAAATTCTTGCAAAACCAGGCACCTTTTACACAACAACATAGTAGCATGATGTGAGGTGTACTGAGTATATAGACATTCAACAACACAATGATAATACTTACACTTCCCTCGTTTTTTATGATTTTTTTTACCTTTTGTGTCAGAAAATGTATATATATTAAAGGAGAGAAATTCAAATATGTATTGATGGATGAAATGATGAATCCTGACAGTACACTGAAGTCATCCCATATAAACACCTCACAGTCAAAGCAGTGTTGGGGAATAGATATATCTCTTTTAGTCACTTTTAGTTTGGAATGAATGTGCTGGATGAAAAAAAGTTGGATTTTTATGTATTAGAATATAAACATTCATGAAAAAAATAAAAAAATCTAAAGAAGCTAATCAATTATACCCTTTTCATCAAGCTAAAAATAACAAGGGAACAATGAATAAATAGAAAAGTAAATTAAACAAGCATTTCCCCCAAAAAATAACGTTCTACTACTTGCATTACAATGAATGTCACAAGCATGAAAAAAAGGTAAATATATTGATAGTCCATCAAAGTGAAATATGAAACAGGCACTTAAAGACACCTACATTAGTGGTAGCACATTCAGTAGACAGGAAGAAATCAATGAAAGTCTTCTACATGGAAAAGTGTTCAGTTCCAATTTTTGAATTAATTAATTGAAAGGGATTAAATTTTGGCACCAGATAATAGAGAAGAATTTGGAATTCAAGAATAGTTATTTGATTTTGATAATTGAGAAGATCTTAAAACCTTCACTAGTGTCGCTCATGTGTAGTATAAGAGAGGGATTGATATAGGCGGTGATGACTTACCGATCACGGAGCGTGGAGCATTAGACACTATTGAGAGGTATTCCATGGGAACAGGGGTGTTAGCCATTGTTGTGGCACTCGAGGAATGCTTCAGATTAAACGATCTCAGGAACTCCTACAACAAACATCAAACACAGGTTGTAAAAATCAGAAATTTCACATTTGACAGGGTAGACATTAGATATTTCCATTAAATATCTAACAAAAATGAAATTTTCAATTATTCCTTCAATTAACTCATCTACAACAACATTAAATACCTAAGACTGAGAGGATTATCTCCCTTTAATACAAACTTACCTCATCTAGAAACAAGTCGCTGTAGGAACCCATTCTGAAACAGAGACAAAACAGTAGGGGATATACAATGAATAAATTAAATAAATTCAACAGGAAAAACATATTAATTTCAAATATCAATTAATGAAATATACACTTTGCCAAACTAATTATACGCTATCAAAATAGATTCACAGGGCATTGTTTAAGAATTTTACTTTACAGATCTCAAATAAAATGAAAACAAAAATGATGAGCAACAACACTGAATCTGGTACAAAATGTAATGTTTGATTTACATCCTAAGTGCTGGCATGTTTTGGCAAAAGGGAGGCCATCTTCAGAGCACAGTTACATGATGTTTGCAGCTATGGCACAATGACAACAAAGGTCATGTGACTAGAACAATGAAGAATAACTGTGACGTCATCAAGTTGCTTAGAGTTACAGACTGAAAGGGTGAAAAGGTTTAGCCATTTTTGATTGGTGCATAATAGAATCAGTGCTAAATAATTTCAGAATGATTATAGATTATATAAAAGTATCATGGTAAATGTGAATGTATGAATTGTAGTATTACAGTATTTACAATGCAAGAGATGATTAAAGGAACAGAAACTTGGCACTAATTCTATTATGCACCAATCAAAAATGGATAAACCTTTTCACTCTTTCAGGCTGTAACTCTTAGCAACTTGATGACGTCACAGTTATTCTTCATTTTTCTAGTCACATGACCTTTATTGTCATTGATTGTCATTGTGCCATTGTTGCAAACATCATGTAACTGTGTTCTGAAGATGGCCACCCTTTGGCCAAAACATGCCAGAAAGGATGTAAATCAAACATTACATTTTGTACCGGATTCAGTGGTGGTGTTGCTAATCATTTCTGTTTTCATTTGCTCTGCTTTATCCCTGATGAGCACTGTTGAATACCATTAAGGTGTCCGCCCCAGGATCCTACTGCCACTATGGAACCGACTTCCTTGCAGGGACGTTGGGTCTCCATCCCCCAGTTGTTACAGATCTCAAATAAGGTTTTTTCATATTGTTTTAAAAACACTGTATAATCATATAAATCATACAACAGATTGTATTCAGTGCTAAGGCAGACTTGATAATGTGTGACCTTTGACCTTACCTTAAGTAATTATTCTCCAGTATCATATATAACATCTGACCAAACCTTAAGTTCCTTGTCAATAGAATGTGGTATGACCTTTGACCTTATCTTTCGTCATTACATCTAGAATGTGTGCCCTTTGACCTCACATAGTCACTAGACCCGGGATAACCTTACCTAGAATCACTGCTCCCCAGGATGTGTTGTACGACCATCATGGAGTCGACAGCCTCCTGGTCGACCTGCATCATACTGTTGGTCGCCGCCTGTGACCTAATCCTTGTGTTCTTGTCACTGGGCTACAAAAACACGGCAATGTGTTATTTTAGCTTTCATTTTAAATTACTGAGTTCAATATTTCCCAAAAAGTAAATTTATCATATATTCTATCATATTTACAAGCCAAGTATAACTGATTTCAAACATGAAGGTTTAAGTCAATGGATATAGCATTGATATATTCAAAATTAATGAATCGTATAAAAAACAACATTGCATAACATTATGTGGCCATCACCTTTACTTTATGGAATCTGAATTACTTACACTGATGCCCCACATTTTTCACAAGATCTTATCCCACAGTAGACACAAGTATATATATAAATTGTAACAATTATATAACCCACTAGCGGTTGATAAAATTCCCAGAAGCCTTCATTTCACCATGGGACAGTTCAAATAACCATAATGGTGAAATGAACCGCGATTTATATTACAGTGAGCTTCACACAACCATAGTAAACAGATGGACGCATACCAGTACATGTATATGCATGCCAATATACTGTATATGCTTGTGAAATGCAGAGAATTATGTAAAAACATAATTTCAGTTATTAAGACTCTCACCTTTTCTGTTTTCCAGCGTTCCCGTGCTGTAACAGGTGCAGTACGGGGCCGCTTGCCTGCATGAGTGGCCCCTACAGGGCGTTTTGACTTGGCCAAGTTCTTCACATAAGTGTGACCACCAAACCTTGTGGCCTGCCATCTGATCAAGGGGAGACAACTGTTACAGAACCTGACAGAATACCTCTATCTTGGGGTTTTAAGATTCATGTCTTATACCTTTTGTCATGTTACACAAAGATTCATGTCTAATTATACCTTCTGTCATGTAACACAAAGATTATTTTATACACAATTATAAAATTTACTTTAGGCTAACTCTATGGACCTGAGATCTGCTCATATTAATGTAAAAATATCAGATATGCTTCGCAAAACATTACATAAATTTTCACCACCTGCTTTTCTATCTAGTAAAATAATACAACTAATGTGACTGTTTGTACTTCCTTTACCTTTTTTGAGCAGCAAAAGATCATATTTTGCATTTGTAAGTGAAGACTAATTATCATCATGTTATATGTTAAATGTATGTACAATTTTTAGCCTTGTATTAATACTTTTAAAAGCAGTAGCTTGGTTAGGTGCTCAGCTTCCCCACCTAGTATGCTGTCACAATTAAGTAGCCATTAAGACCTTATTGTATTTTTTGCTTTACTAAATTTAAAATGCTGAAATAAAGTTTTGTCTATATTTGCCCATTGTATAATTGATATTAGACACATAGAGTAGTAATCTCTAAGCATCTATCACACACATGATTGCTGAGAAATATGTATACAGTACCTTTTCATGCCAAATGTGAGCTCATCATGGATATAACAGCTTTTATTAAAAACAAGTCTTGAATTTTTCCGTGACAATATTCCTATTCATTGACAACTTTTACTTGCGTATTCTATTAGATATAAATATAGCCAACACTGTTCACAGACTAGTCTAAATAACTGTAATGAAATTCCGACTAATACTGTCCTTATTTTTGTCTTCAATTTTTTTTTTTAGTAAATTAATCATACCTAGTTTTAAATTACTCAATCTTCTTTAGACTTTTTGTAGCAAAAGAATATAATTGTTCCATTTTTAAATATCTGATAAAATGATTAGTTTCCCTGGATTTTGATCATCATTACGTTGCTTCTAGTCTATGAACATGTGGGTCGTCAATGCTTTCCTTATTTATGACTGAAGTGATTGAACCAATCTACATCTAATCAGTGTCTGAATGCTAAATTGAATATGAGGTTTAAATGCAATTAAATCTAACTGCAATCACCATTTCAATTGCTAGGATCAGAAAATTACATTTCCCATCTAAAAGATTTGAAAGAAACACATATAATACGTCTTTACGATTTCCAGAATTATCAGACCTGCTTTAGGTCTAGATTGGTTCAAGTGATTCAACCGCATAAATCAAATGCATTGTCCTCACTTGTATCGCATTGAGTCCGGCGTTATTTTGCCCCTCCAGTCTATGGCCTGAATCACTGTGTTAGTTGGTGTAGGCACAGACCTTCGGGGGGTGAAATGTTCAGGTGCATCAGGGGAAGGTATGAGTATATCACGACTTGTGAAGGGGTTAGAGGTCAGGAAGAAAGGTCGTGACACAACAACATCGGCAGATGTTACCGGCTGACTGATAACAAGAAGGATAAAACAGATCACATAACAATAAAAGAAATATGAACAGTTTTATCAGGTTTATCAAATATACACATTGGAATAAATAGAAGAAAGGATTTGTTTCTTTAAATTAAAATTGTTTAAAAATCATTTTGGATATTGAATTATTGTTTGGCAAAATATCTATACAAGTGTCCATCTATGCTCTATATCAACCCTCAATACCATTACAATTTTGTATATATTTGTATATATTTGTATATATGCCGTAACCAGAAGTATAAGATGCAGTAGTGACACACTAGTAACCGAGTGAACTGGACAGGTTTGCAATTTTTATTTACTAATTACAAGAATAATTGTGAACATAATGAGTTTTCCTGTACTTTCTTTTCATGACATGAAAAAATCATGGAAAATCTGATCTGATTTTAAATGATTTCGGCACTATTTCTATGACAATTCAAAATTCTTGAAATCAACAAGTTGCAAAAGCCAAAATGCACGTTTTTGCCATGTAGTTTACACATGTATTAAGATCTAATCTACAACAATTTTGGATATGTGCTCCTGAAACATAAATATTCTTCAAAATGTACATATTTTTGGCATGTTTCCAGAACAACTGAACATTTCTTTAAATCAGACATTTAAAATTACCACTCATCTGCACTGTCATTGACTTATGACGGAAGTTTGAAATAACAATCTGTTTTGAGATATTCTGCACTTCACTTCACTACTGCACATGAGACAGAACATGTCTGTATACCCCCAGCCAACTTTGTTGAGGATATCATAATAAATACAGTTAAACCTGCCTGTAGAGACCAGGTGTACTTTCTTCCCAAGACCCCCGATCACATTTGGTCATTCCACCTCCCTCAACCTCTAAACTCTCCCTCAGATCAGACACTAGAGCTACTACTGCCTTGTGTTATATTAATATATTAGGAGAGGTAATCTGGTTAAAGATGGTGCTTGTATACAGGAATGACGTGTACGATACTCACGTTGGGGTATTTGATCGCTGTACTGGACTAGTTGACCGCATGGCATGGTGGACATGGTAAGTCGGGGAGGCAGACCTCATCCCCTGGGGATAGACAGGGCTGGTAGACCTGACCCCGGTGGCTGTACTTGGGCGGGACAATGGCCTCATGGGAACGCCCATACTGGATGGCTGACGGAACCCGGGCTGAGGGGTCGGGGCCAGCTATGAAGAAAATTAAAGACATCAATTCAAAATATCTTTGTGCTGTATCCGATTGGAGTTATGAAGTGTGATTCCTAAATTCATATTTTTTCATTTAAGTGTCTTCTTGAGGGATTATATATTTCTTAAATGTGTTTCTAACGGTTGAGTGGGGGAGAATAAAAAGAGCATCGAAATTAATGCATAAATGAATGAGCAGACAGGTAAAGACACCACTATATCACATTGTGTAAGAGAGATAATCAAACATCAATGACAAAGGATTAAACCCTTTTTTGATCACGTAAGTACTGACCTTTTCTTTGTAATGTGCCATATCCTCTGTGACATCATCGATCATAGTGACCACCTGGTCTAGTCGTACCAAATGACCCGTACCAACAATCTCTAGTTCCTTTTCTTCAGGCTGTTTCTCCTTATTCTCTCTGTAAAAAAATTACAAAGACAATAGGGTTTTATGTATTCATATCATCTGCATTATTAAATCTCCACTCATAATGGAATACTTTTTTTCAATGAGTTACATCTCTTTAAAATAGGCTGAAAAGAATAAAAGTGTGTTTATCATTTTTACGTTTTTTGAGTAAATTTACTTTGAGTATCAATCTTAATTTCAAGAATCACATGAAAAAAAACCAATTCTTTTTAGCACTTATAATGCATACATACGTATCACATAAATTTTGAATAAATACTCTTTGTAAATATGTAAAAGCAAGATAACTTTGTGAAAAAGGAGTTTGAGCAATATGTAAATATCTTCATTCAGTTAATAGTCAGAAGAGTCCAATAATTTGAGCCAAAATAAAATGTTGATGCATTCTTTCTTTAAGTGGATATTTCATTGCTAGGAATGAAATCTCACTTCATAAATAGGATTACTGCTTACAAGGAATTCTTACTTATTGTTAAGAAGTTTCCTGCCCAGTGGCTGAACTTTTTGTGTTTTGTGCTCCGTCTTTTTGTCCTTGACCTCTGGTTTGGTAGAGGACTTATTGGGAGAGGAGTAGGGGCGGTACTTCGGTAGCTTTGACGGGTAATGGCCTTCTGTAAACTGGTAAAACTCCTCCAATTCCTGACTGGTGATCGTTTTAGCAGGGTTGGCCTCCACTGGCAGGGGACCTAATACTGCAAGGCGGAAATCAGACAATAGGGAAATTATAGACATGTTCTTTTAATCAGTCTTTATTTAAACAGGTATGGATCTATGTAACTATGAAAGTGACTACGACAGAGGTATTGTTAGACATGACAGAGGTGTTGTTAGACACGACAGAGGTATTGTTAGACACGACAGAGGTATTGTTAGACATGACAGAGGTCTTGTTAGACATGACAGAGGTATTGTTAGACACGACAGAGGTATTGTTAGACACGACAGAGGTCTTGTTAGACACACTCTTTACAGGTGTTATCTATACAGGTGAGCTTTATAGACATGTTTTCTTTATAAAGTGGCACCATTTATAGAAATGTTCTTAAAGCAGAGATGGTCTTTATAAACAGGTTATATAAGGAGATATACAGACATGGCCTTTATACAACAAGAGCTGTCAGAGAACAGCATAGCACGCCTATGTATGTTATTATAATACTGCAACTATCAATAGAAACACATGTATAGTAAAACGTTGATATAGTGCCTGTCATTTTATTCGCCACCTCACTTACCACCAGGATATTTCAAGGACTGTTAAATGTGTAGAAACATTTATGTTAAGTGATTGTTAAGAAATTAACAAAGTCCAATTAAGCTGCTTTTGGACGCTAAAATATGAAAATGTGGTTCAACACATTGCTTACACTCAATACAAATACTTCAACCTTATAATAGACAACAGCCTATTGATGGTGGTGGTCCAACACTACCCAACAAAACTTGCGTACAAAAACTTGAACCTCAAATTTAACTAAGTCCAATTAAGGTGTTTTTGGGCCATAAAATATGAAAATATTGCCCAGAACATTGCTAACACTCCATATAAATGCTTCAACCTTATAATAGACAACAGCCTATTGATGGTGGTTGTCCAACACTGTCTGGAAAAACCTTGCCCAAAAACTTTAACCTCAAATTTAACTAAGTCCAATTAAGGTGTTTTTGGGCCATTAAATATGAAAATATGGTCCAGAACATTGCTTACACTCGATATAAATGACTTAAACTCATAATAGACAACTGTGTATTGAGTGTGATGATCCAACACTGTCTGGAAAAAACTTGCACCAAAACGTTAACCTCGGAAGGTGGGACGCCGACGCCGGGGTGACTACATTAGCCCCCCTATTCTTCGAATAGGCGAGCTAAAAATGTGTTTGTCTTAATGATTGCACTCCTATTTGTAAACTTGGGATTCCTTTTTGACAAGAGGTATGCAGGTCTTTTATACAAATTTCTGAAACAACGCATCTGCAACTTCGACCTTGACAGTGAGATAATCCCTACATGTATTTGCCTTTTCGCCTTTGTCTGTTTCTCACATACAAGACTGAAATACCCTGCACAAGACCCAATAATTGCAAATTGCACCTAGGACAAATGACAAGGCACACAGGTGCAACAGATGGTAGCTATTGACAACCCAGCAAGTATCATTTCAATAGTTTGGTTTAAGTTCCTCAAAACCCAAGGGAATATCAAGTATCTGCGCCATTTCAAATATCATGTTGCTGTAGGGTATTAGGGAAATACACCTCAACACCATGAAATATCTGTACAATATTTTCTCCTGTCAGCAAAATAACAGAATATTAGTGCCAAGATAGGAAACACTTGGTAACTTATTTGTGTTTCGGATACACAGGAAGGGCGTTAGTCACAGATACACAGGAAGGGCGTTAGTCACGGATACACAGGAAAGGCGTTAGTCACGGATACACAGGAAGGGCGTTAGTCACGGATACACGGGAAGGGCATTAGTCACGGATACACAGGAAGGGCGTTAGTCACGGATACACAGGAAGGGCGTTAGTCACGGTACATGTATGTATACCTTCAGGCTGCTTGCTGTCTTGGTTCTGTGAGGTGTAGAAAGCCAGTACTTGTTGGGTCTCCACTTCGGGAGCCTCACCCTGATCATGGGCTGCGTAACGAACATCCACGGCAGTACCACTACGTCCCACAAAGTTCAGCTTACCTGGAGCGAAACAGATCTCACAGCAATTAGACTGATAATTACTGAATTGTTTCGTTTTAATGCATTCATGCTTAAAGTGTATAAACCAAACTGCCAATTAAAATGGATCTTAATGATAAATCATTTGATGACATGTATACTACAATATTCATTTCTCTAATTAAAATGAAATAATATATTTATATCACAGAAATACTTTGATTTGGATTTATAATTTATCACTTATCTTTGTCTAAACAGACAACTATCTATCTGTTTCAGTAGAAACTTAGTTATACTTTGTCATTTTATAATATTTGGAAAATCAATGTTCGTTATAGAAAAAATTATGCAACATCACATCTTAAACTTGTGTATATAAAGGATAGGCTCAAACAAGAAAAAGTATGTGCTAAAGAAGGAATTATCAAGGCTAAATCCAAGTGAATTTATTAACAAAAAAAACATATTAAAATCAATAACAACTGTGTTTACCGCTGGAATAGAAAACGAAATGTTTTCGTTAGTTTTCATTTTAGGAAGAAAGCTTTCTGTATGATGTTACGAAGGCTTAGGTAGGTGTAAAAATATCTGGTTCACTTATAGGTGTTCCTTAAAACTGACATTACATAAAAAAAGTCTTTCATTCAAGATTTATTTGCTCCAAATTTGTAAGCAACTATTCCTCTCTGAATCACAGTTATCTGCCCCTTTTAAGTTAGTTATCTCCCTTACTTCCATCATACCATATTTCTCACTGCATTCAATCTTTTTTTAATCATAAAGAAAGAACATATTTATCTGAAAAACAAATACACCTTTAAATAAACTGCTACAAAGTAATAAATTAAAATAAATTAATAATATACTATACAAGAAAACAAAGTTATTATTAATTTGACAACATTGAAATAATTTCTAACCATCACCATTCCTTAAAAAAGTTATAAATTTCCCTATCCCTCAAAAACCTTAAATGTGAATTGGTCAAAGTACCTTCATTTACATATTGTGAGTTTTATTTTTATTTTATTTTCTCTCAAGAAGTTGAAAACAAAATTACAGATTTTACGAAATTATTACACAATAATGGAATATTTGCAAATATATTTTTCTAATGATATCACAATAAATTGATATGTCAGAATGATCAATGTTCAAGAATATATATCTGATCACTCGGTCAAGTTCCCTGATTTCTAATCAGATTATGATAAATCCTTCACCCCATTCCTACATACTGTATGTGTGAAAGCATTACATCAGGGTCACATTCCTTTAATTTATAGCCAATCAGTCCTAAACCATTATACCTAATTGCAACATCCCTGCAAGGAAGTCAGTTCTATAGTGGTGGTAGGGATCCTGGGGCGGATACCTTAATGGTATTCAACAGTGCACATCAGGGAAAGCAGAGCAAATGAAAATAGAAATGATGAGCAACACCACCACTGAATCCGGTACAAAATGTAATGTTTGATTTACATCCAAAGTGCTGACATGTTTTGGCCAAAGGGAGGCCGTCGTCAGAGCACAGTTACATGATGTTTGCAACTATGGTACAATGACAATAAAGGTCATGTGACTAGAACAATAAAGAATAACTGTGACGTCATCAAGTTACTAAGGGTTACACCCTGAAAGGGTGAAGAGGTTTAGCCATTTTTGATTGGTGCATAATAGAATAAGTGCTAGTCACAAGACCTTTATTGTCATTGTACCATAGTTGCAAACATCATGTAACTGTGCTCTGAAGACGGCCTCCCTTTGGCAGAAACATGTCAGCACTTAGGATGTAAATCAAACATTACATTTTGTACCGGATTCAGTAGTGTTGTTGCTCATCATTTCTATTTTCAAATTTCATTGTAGGAAAATGTGTATGGAAAGGACACCCCAACATGACCCCTAATGTAATGTTAACCAATTTGTCACCCTAGTATATGGTAAAGAAATGGGGTGAATGACCACGTTTAAATCAGATTGACCAATTCAAATAAAAAAATATAAAATGTCAAACAGCACTTTAAGACACTCACAATATAAGTACACATATAACCTAAATATACAACTGTAAGATCTATTAATAAATATCAAAAAATGTAAAAAATACAAGCTCCTAAACAGATATAGTTTGTACCATCTCTACCACTGCCACCATTAAAGTAAAAATCTACATTTAGTCATCACCGTCTCCCCAATGCTAAGTGCTATCACATCAGGAGTAAGTCAGACACATTCAACCCCAACATTTCAGTTCAACACACATTATATAACATTCCTGCTCTTTTTTGTCAGTGTCAAATTTTGAAACATTCAATATGACACATTTTTATTTGATCATTGATTTATTCAAATTCTAAATAACTGTTAGGCTCTCAGGAGTAAAACTTTATACATTCTTATAAATTAGACGGGGTTTGGATAAGGCAAATAAGATTGTGCACAAATTTTGGAATTTCTTTCAAACACTTGGGAAGGTGATGTTAAGAAACTGTTGCAAAATTAACAAAATCAACGAAACAAAAGCATGTCACCATGACAACAGATACGGAGACAAAAACAGAGGCCTGTTGCTTTAGGACGAGGCCAGTGTGAATTACCTTTAGGATAAGCCCTAGTACTTGGGCTTATGTTATTTCCTATGTGGTCAGGAAGTAAAAAGCATTCAAGTTTTATTTCGAGTAAACATTACTATCGAATATCTCTGTGGGCCAGGAAAGTTTTGCTGCAATTTACATTTCATCTTTTTTGGCCTCTGTAATGTGGGCAAATCTATACATGATTATACATGACAGTATAAATCATTATACAGCACACCATACAGTAATTGCATGTGAAGGGCGAAATTGACAATTAATGGCAAATGTGGATTTTGGAAAAGTTTGACAGGGCAAAACGTTCCTGGTACACAGTATATAAATATCAAATGATACAGGACACTGCTAGTGCTATAATCTTCTGTCATTATTGTATTCTCTGCCACAGCGCAATGTTAATCCTGGTTCTAGATATATGGTTAACAAAGTCACTACCCTGAAGAGTGAAATTAATTACGCTTTAGTTTTTTATATCGGAACACTGCCACAGCAGATTTTCTTCTGAGATAAAGGTTCTGTTCTGTAGAAAAACCATGCAGCCTCTAAAAGAGACTTCATTATTGTCGTGGCATCATATTTAAATATGCTCTGGGACCTATACACACTTACACCAGAGGTGGCATTTAACACAGGGCCTACAGCAGTGACTTACAAATATATACAATGTACCTTGTCAGGGCAATAGTCTCACACACCCCATTCTATTCTAAGGCAAATATTAAATCAAAATTATCAAAAACATTCCTGTTACATTAAATCAACTAATCAAAACATACGTTGAAGATCTGTAAAATCTTAAATAGTATTTTCACAAATATTTTTTTCTTAAATGATTAAATTTATGAATACGATGTAAGCAACACCTACTTAATATGTCCTGCCCATATGTCCAGTCTTTGTTGAAGGATTTCCAGTTCTCAATCTTTGGACTCCCCGTTGTCGGCCTAAATATCGGTAAACCGTTACTGTGTTGATGACCTTCAACTGATACACAGGAAATATAAACGTAACGGACCTTCACAGACAATAACAAAACAATAAATAAATAAATCAATATAGAGTTAAGGACCTTCTAAGCCATATCACTCTGCCTTGTAAAACCTTTTTGTCTCAGATGTAGGACATCAATTTTTATTAGATACATACAATAAGTGTTTTACTTCCCAACAAACTTGGGATACCCAATCAACAGCTGAGTAGACAGGATCAATCACAATAAAGTGTCTGGTTCTATGATAGGACATTTTCACATTGATGTCATGAAGAGAATAAAACCCTCAGTTTTCCATGATCTTTGAGTCAACAGCAGAAAATTCTACAACAGACATTCTGTCCACTTAAGTAACAAAGAAGACAAATAATAATAATAATTTGAGGTTATTCTATACCGCTTTATCACAACCTAGTTCGTAGGTCGCCTCAAAGCGGTTCACAAATTATTGTCCGTGGTTATAGGGCCTTTGCAACCAGCCAATACTTTTCTCAACTCCCTGGAGAGCATACACCCGGAGCTGCCATTTCGGCGCTCACAGCTAGCATTCTATAATTCTAGCACTGCCCAACCACATACTCATTTGCATCTGAGTAGACTGGAACAAGCGGAGTATTGATCTTGCTCAAAGATACAACACATTGCCATGCCGTGGGGCAAACCCGCAACCCTTCAGTCACATGCCAAGCGTCCTACCACTGGACCACTGTGCCTTCTAAGACAACATCAATATCCTTTTTTTGAAAATCACACTGTATCATTATTGTACAAATTATCACTAATAAGTGCCTTGCAATATAGGAATAGAGAAAGAAAAAACATCTTGGTTATCAACACTAAGACCACACTTTTCATATTACGTGTAGTCTTCTCTTCAAGTACAATTAAAACAAAACATTTCATTTTCACAAATGAAATATAATTATTGTCAAAATCAAATGCTGGAACATATCTGTTTTGAGTAGTTGACAGCAATTTCCTGACATTTGGGGCCATGTAACAAAGAGAACATTTAATAGCTTCCAATTAAATATTATATATATTTCATTGGTATGTCAAACTCTTGAACATATCAAAATATTCTGTGTGCAATAAGAGCTACCTCCCCTGGCACTATCTCGCGATTCAAACTTTGACTGATTTGTTCAGGAAAGATGTTTTGGAGTTTTGTTACTTAGAGTGGAACTCTTTTGAAAATGATTGATGCATGTTTTAGAAACGTAGCATATATCCTTAAGTAATATCCTAACAGGTTATCATTTATATATTAGCGTACTGGTGTTTGTAAACAACACTGTTTTGTAAGATGACACACACCATGCTGCTGCTGTCGAGACTTGCTCCCAGACAGCACCCTCATTGACGACGCCATGTTTTCCCGGGCAGCAACATATTCTTGTTCTGCTTGCTCTGCTTCCTGTGCGGCCAGCTGAGCATGGGGATTCACCAGGCTTGCAATCGGGTGTATCATCTTCTTGGGCAGGAATGCAGCATTGGACACATTGGATGACTAAGAAGTGAAAAAATAATAAGTAAAAACATTAGGAGTCAAAACAAATACATTAATTGTCACTGATAAGAAAAAAATATCTGTTGTTTTGAAATGGTATGTCCAAATTTCCCCCCCTAATGGCTGGCAAACTATCATAAAGTAAATGAAAACAAAAGGCCCAGAGGGCCTGTATCGCTCACCTGAATATCTAAGCAATCATGGCAAAATATTCTCCAAATGAGATCCAAGGGAATATGCCAGACCCCAATGCCAATTCTTGTAGTATGTCTTTATTAGATTTTTCATGTCCAGCAATTTAATGCATGGTTATGGGGTGGGGATCTCAACTGTTTCCAAGCTGTGACTCAGAAACTAGATCCCTAGGGTTGTGGCCAGACCCCAGGGTCAATTCTAATATCATGACTGCATTCGTCTCTTTTTGTCCAGCATTTGTTTTTATAGTTTGGGGTGGGGATCTTAACAGTTTCGAAGTTATGACCCAGGGGTTAAGTCTCCAAGGGTGGGGCAGACCCCAAGGCCATCCTGGAAGCATATGTGCATTCATCTCTTTATATTCAGCAATTGTATAGATGCATGGTTATAGGGATCTCAACTGTTTTCAAGCTGTGACTAGGTCCCTGGGGTTCGGTCAGACCCCAAGGTCTATTATAATACCATAACTACTTTTGTCTCTTTATGCCAAGTATTTGTATATATAGTTCTGGGGTGTGGATCTCAACCGTTTCAAAGTTATGACCCAGGGACTATGTCTCAAAGAGTCACCAGGCCAGACCCTAGGCCATCCTGGACGCAAATGTGCATGGTTATACTCTGGGGATCTCAACCATTTCCAAGTAAAAAAAATTTTGGCCCCACCCCTTAGCCCGGGGGTCAGCCCCACCATTTGTACAATTTTAAATCCCTGTCTCCCATGAACGCTTCTGACCAAATATGATCGATATCCATGGCATAATTCTACAACATAAGTCGTTTATAGCAATATAGCCAAATTGACCCCTTTTGGCCTCCTCCCTCAGTCCCCTGGGGGGTCAGCCCAACCATTTTGTACAATTTTGAATCCCCATCACCTAGGAATGCTTCCAGTGAAATATGGTTGATATCCAGTGCATAATTCTACAGAAGTCGTTTGTAGCAATATAGCCGAATTGCCCCCTTTTGGCCCCACCACTCAGCCCCCTGGGGGGTCAGCCCAACCATTTGTACAATTTTGAATCTCCACTACCGAGGGATGCTTCCAGTTTAATATGGTTGATATCCATCTCTTAGTTCCAGAGATGAAGTTGCTTAAATCAATATAGCCCAATTGCCCACTTTTGGCCCCGACACTCAGGCCCCTGTGGGTCCAGACCCACGGTTTATACAAAATTGGTTCCCCTTCACCCAATGATGCTTCAGACAAAATATGAAACAAATCCTTTCATTCCTACAGAAGAAGAAGGATTTTAAAGAATTTGCTATCTGTTCTCTATTGGGCCCCAACCCTCAGGCCCCTCAAAATATAATAACTTTGGAAAAATCAGTTAAAAAGAGCTTCTAAGAATTTGCTATGTTTCCCCTATTGGGCTCCACCCATCAGGCCCCTCAGGGGCCAGACCCACGGTTTATGAAAAATTGGTTCCCCTTCACCCAATGATGCTTCAGACAAAATATGAAACAAATCCTTTCATTCCTACAGAAGCAGAAAGATTTTAAAAAATTTGCTATGTGTTCTCTATTGGGCCCCAACCCTCAGGCCCCTCAAAATATAATAACTTTGGAAAAATCAGTTAAAAAGAGCTTCTAATACAGATTGTTCATACCCGGTCAGTGATGGTTGGCCGGATACTGGCAGAGGGAGTCTGGGCACGAGACAATTTCCGCCTTGTCTCCGGATACTCCATGTCGTCAGCATCCCTGTTCACAGCCTCTTCATCCTGGTCTTTGACACCACGGTGACTCTCACTGATCAGACTCTCAATGTAATGGAGACTGATGTTTGAGGCATCATCTAACTCACGGCGTGGCGTATCACCGGCAATGTCAAGGTCATGTGGGGACGCCAGACGTTGCAACTGTTGAGAATAACAAAGAAAAATTATATATAACAGACATTTCAATATGGTTTAAACAAAGTTGCCTTTTTGGAGTTTTTGCAGATGAAGCAGTTGATAGCCCACTTGCTTTTCACCGATGCAGCCAGGGTTTCATTCTCCGATCAGAAGTGAAAAGGTATGGGTCACCTGTCTGACAACAAGAAATCTCTCCGGGTACTGCGGTTTCCTCCCACATTAAGACCCATCACACTCTAACATTAAGGCCAGCAAGAGTGATTAATATACCCTGTATGTTGTAATAGCTTGTTTCATAATTGGTATAAAATAAATAAAGTTTATATTTAAGACATATGTTCAAAGAAGGTAAAGTTATATCATATGTCTACATGTGTTACATTGGGTAAGTGGAGATAAAAGGTTTTGTCTAAAACCTCACCCTTGACTGAGGATATGAGATACTAAAAATGTTAATTTATCGAACAATGAGCTACAGTTTCTGTAGATGTAGGAACAACTGTTCAGTAGTCATGTTAAGCAGCTTTCCATCCTGATCCATATCTACAATACATATTCTTACCTTTTCTATTCAAAGATAGACCTGTTAAATGTCCCATGTAAACTCTGCATTCAGTCAATGTTACTAGGTGAATGTGGTTTAAAAAATATTCTCATTACATCGAACAGTTCATCAAGTTTAAAAAAACACCAGAAGTTATTAACTGAACCTCGGCCAGGTTTACTACCAAATCTATCATTATTACAAACGAAAGTCGATAAACATGTTGTAACAATTTAAAAAAAAAAAAAAATCTTGCTTGTTCCTTTGCTGTGATAATGTAACAGCCACAAATGTCAAGCCAGCAATATACGGTATGAAATAGCACAGGTATTTCTGTCACAAATTGGTGTGGTACAAACTATTGATCCATCATTAGCCAATATTTGGTTTAGAACAGAGTTAACAGTGGTATTCAGCTCCAGAGCATATAATGGCATCGATATCTCGGAAAGCAAACGGCAATAATAACCTTAGTTAATAGAAAAAAGACACAATTTTCTATGAGTGTTACGATACGATCAAGCCATTTGCTATAAACATATTTCGTGCTAATACCACACAATAATTTCAAATATGTTACTACACTTCCTGCATTTTTTTCTAAGGAAAGTATTAAAGGAGTTAAGGGAAAACTGATGTTAAGGAAATTTACCTTCATTTCAGCTGTTTTCTCATAGGGAAAATGTGAGAGAAAAAATGAATTAAGGAGTTTCTTATAGTTAAGAGATGATTGTTTAACTGAGGCAAGACAGACAGAGAAAAGTAGGTTAAGGTTCTTCATTTAAAAAATTTGGTAAAACTTCATCCCAGCATGCTACTGCGTTTGATTATTGGATCATTCAGTTAAGAATTTGAAAGCCCTCATCTGAGCATGCTTTTCCAGTCGGGCCACAAATCATTCCCGTAAGTCTCTTGGTTATCAAAATGAAGGTGTTTCAAAGTTTTCAAGACATTTGACCCCTGTGACCTTGGATATGGGTGGGTGAAGGTCATTCCATGAACAAACTGGACAGTTCTCCATCTAAGTATGCTACAGGACAAATATCACCCTAGGTCTTTTCGTTATTTAGAAGAAGTCGCGTAAATTCTGAACACATTTGACACCTGTGACCTTGAATATGATTGAACGTGAAGGTCATTTGATTGAACAAACTTGAGAGCCAATCATCCAAGCATTCTACTGGCCAAATGGCATCACCATAAGCATTTTCATTATTCAGAATAAGTCATTTGAATTTTTTAAAACATTTGACACCTGTGACCTGTGACCTCAAGGTCATTCATTGAACAATCTGATAGCCCTTGATCCCAGCTACTACTGGCCTGATACATGTGTTATCACTATTGGTCTTTTGGCTTTTAAGAAGTTGTTGAAAGTAAAAAATTGATGCCAGACGGACAACAAACAGACAGACATTGGACGCCAAGCCACAGCATATTCTCACTGGTCTGTTGGACCAGGTGAGCAAAACAAATATGATAAAGACTATTGAACAATTATATCCCAGCCTATTGGTTACTATTTCTATGGCTAAGTAGACTTCTCGAGTCAAACTCCAGCTAGAGCACAAAAGCAGGACTTCAGGTCCAATGTTAATCATTATACATGTACGGTAGTAAGACTTTTTTTTAATACTGTACAGAAACATTGAAAATATACTGTCAAGTCTTATCACGATTGTACATAATGTACATTACAAATCTTTAGAAACACTATTGTATTGTTTCAATCCACAAAAACCAGTTTCCAATCATTGTAAGAGATCTACAGATATGTCAAGCTGCTGTGTTTTGTACCTACCTCTCCTGAATAAATCCATTATTACGATCAATAAAGCACAACTACATACTGTATCTATAAACACACCACACTGGTATCTAAGTTTCTATTTGATGTTTTCAGAAAAACTTTCATACAGAATAAAATATCTCGATCGGGGCACCTCCACTTCTTGTGAGTGAATATTCCAATGATGAGACGAAGTTATTTCCTCAGCACCAGAGAACCAGTACTGTAGACAGAACAGAGCCTAACTTACCTTACACAATTAATCAGGCTGCACTGTAATGCTACTTCGCATTGATCTGCAATCCTAAAGACCTTTTCAGATACAACTCACAGAGCCTCAGACTAAAATAATGTCGCCGACCTCTACAATGATTCGTAAATTACCACACAGCGAGACCAATCTTATATAATTCTAGCCTAACAACTCACAGTTTAAGATGTTCTTAGCAGCCAAATATGCTTTTACCTTGTACTTGTTATACAAGCTTACCAATTTATCTTAACAGGGCCATATCTCACAGTGACGACAAAGAGCACAAAGGTGGCTATTTACATAAAATACAAGCTGGTCAAAGGGCTTGTTTACCTTCCCAGCGGTTTAACAGGAACATGAACAGAAGCCCTACTGTGTTAATACCTTTAACATTGACAGCAGCTCTTCCTATTATTTTTAAATAACACAAAATCTACAGAGAACATATGTGACATTATGATGACAAGTGCAGTGTCAATTTTGATTGTAATACAACAAAAGGTCCACTGGGCCTGACCCATGACCTTGTTTCTTTCACCACACACTCTGTCTTCATAAAACTCATTAAAGATTTGATACAGAGTGAAACTTGTCTCCTTACAATAGCGGGAAATCATTTGGTCTAAAACAAGGGAATCCACCTTTTAGGTATTCAAGTTTATCTTATGTAGAATTATGGATGTTTTTAATTAGGTTAAACAAGACATGTGATTTAACTGAGAAAACAGCAAGAAATTATGATGGTTTCTGATTTCTGCCATTTCGTTGTTCTAGCTGTCCTTAAGCCCTGAAGAAATACAAGTTTAAGTAACATTGAACTATCATGGTTTCATGCAGTCAGTTACCTTTCAGAAACAAAATGAAAATGGTAGGACCAAAAATGCATGTGCGCTCTTCCCAAACCTTTGCAGTATTATGCAAAGTGTGCATCATTTTAGGACTTGAACGGGAAAACAAAGATCAATTTAACAACCAATAAAGATGTAAATCAATCACATTGCCTAAACGGAATATCACATCATTTATCAACACTATCATATATAATTATGGATATCATTTTCTGTTCACTCCCTATCCATCCACTCACCTCAGACTCCGGTCTGTCCAGTAGTGTGGGACTTAGGACATGAATGTCGTCCATAGCGTCCAGAGGTAGCTGGTTGACCACCACTTTTGTCGCTGGGGGCATGTCTGTCACAAATTGTTGAGTAAAATCAGTACTTCCATTGAAAAAGCTTGCGGAGAGGTATTCACTGACGTAGTCTTTGTTAGACGGGAGGTCGTGTATGACAGGACCCCGCATAGAGGACCCTCCTGCCCTAGAAGAAGGGGTTTCAGTTCTAAAAAACTGATGCATCCCGTCAGCGGATGACAGTCGTGTGACTTTAGTCTGCTTCGCTTTGTCTTTGTTGTCCTTTGAAGACTGTCGAGCACTTCGTGGAGTTTTCATGATTTTCTGTTTGAAATCTTCAGCTTCCTTCATCTGGAAGGACTTACCAAAGCGCTGAAAATAAAAACAATAAGTTCTTAGATATTTATTCACTAATGTAAATTAGCATAAGCATGTTAAGGAAGCCCAGAATTTTACTCACTTCATTTAGATAAGATTAATTACTACAATTTCTTCAGACTAATGCTGGCATAATGGATATAAAATCCAATACTTCAGTTACCATTGATGATAAACATAAATCATAACAATAAATAAAAAATACATTCATAAAAGAGGTGTCTTTTTAATGCTTTGTTGTGATAAGAAAAATAGCAAAAGACATCTTTTTCTTAAAAACTGAAAATAATTAAAAACAAATATTATTGGATGCTAACTGAACATCCCTACTTGAAACATCATTTTTTCTTCACGTGCCCCCTGAGTTATACATCATGGGATAAACCCAAATCAACAAATTGGGAAACATATGTCTGAAATTTAATAGTTTTCAATGCAAAAAGCAAGTTACATACTTAATTAAGGTATCTATTTATCTAAATATGGAAGATTTTGTGACAACAAAAATACAATGATATCATTGTGGCCACTGCCCCTAACAATCACAGTCTTGTTATAGTTAATTGCATTTTCTCCTATAAAAACAGAAAGAAAAAACATTGTATTTAATTTTAGCAAACAAATTGATAATAAGGTTCTGAAACAATTTCAAGATGTAGGCATCAATATCAAGAAATTAAATCACTACTTATGGTATCTGAGTACTCCAAAAATACAATAAAATTGTATAAAATTGACTTACAGGTCTGGATGATAGGGTATGCCTATTTGCCATGAACCAGGAATGGACTTTCTGTAGAGATTCCCTCTGTTTTGCTGTGCGTAACCTAAAATTTATGAAATTATTAGTTCCTCTTTGGTAAATGTATTGTAAAGTAAAACAATGGTTTAAGATGACAGGAAAATCTCTTCAACCAAATCAGAAAGAGTTATGTCCCTTCGGTCTGATTTTCATTTTTAATATGCATTATGATTCTGAAAAATATAAATAGCATTTAAAATTGTGAGGACAAACACTTACTGTTTCACTTCTGACATCATTTTGACCAGGACATGGAAAAACTTAGTGTCTCTAGCAGCTTTTTCCCTGCAAAATGATAAACAACATATAACAAAAATGTATTTCTATATTTTTCCCTATTAAAATACCTCATCACAATTTCTGATGCATTAAAACATGTTTTACTGTGCTCAACAGATAATAAATCTTACTTTAAAGCCTTCTGAAATTAACATGTGATAACAACACTTTTGTTATAACACTTTTTTAAGTTGCATGTATATATCTATTTTTTTCCTACATGTATTTTGGCTTTATTTCACATTTTCTGTTCTCTTTCAAGTCTTCAAAGCCTGTTTTTGACAAGTTAAGTCAAGGGGGAAAAGACAGAAAACATCACAGGATATAATCTATCATATCATCTGCATATGGTTGTCAAATCCGCTTTTTGTCTTTAATGCCAGTTTATGTTAAAATTGTTCAAGTGTATATCAAAGACAGGTATATTCCTGGGTAAATACATTTTTATGTATCTAAATAAATATGTACCCCTGTTAAAACAGATCTAACATTTTCACTATGATTAATACAGCACTTCATGATCAATCCATAAGACTAGTAAATACATTGAAATCCCCAGCAGCTGATCAAGTAGCAGTACATTGATCAGTGCCCAAGTTGCTGGGGAATACATTTATTTCAAGTGTCTATATCCTTACTGACACTCTCAGAGAAATCTAATTCTCCACTGCCATTGATTACCGGTAGGCAGGAATTTCATTTATCACTGCGTAGGGTAGAAAGTTCCAACACTGTATACAGGTCACTGAGGTGTATCTCTAAATTCAGTAATTCCAATCAATTTGGCATTTTTCTTACCGAAGTTTGCTTATACATGTAAATACAAAAGAAATATTTTTGATACATTATTTTTTTTGCGAAAAAAAATTTGCTCATTAAGAATAAAATCCCCAAACCTCTTAATTTTAAAGCAGGGAGATTCTCCACTATGCCTCCAGTCATGATATCTGTTAATACTTTTCTGCAACAAATCTACTCCCTAGAAAGGCCTTATTTAGCTTTATTTGTCTTGAAATACATGCATGTACTTAGGAACACAGTTATGTATGGGTTTTTTTAATTTTTACTATGAATTTACCTTATAATTATTTTTTGTCAGCTATACATGTAGCTTAAATAGCAATATGCAGGTGTTACAGATATGCTGGCTTCTTAAGTGTTCATTTCTGACCAGAAATTAACTAATAAAGCCTACACCACTACTGGGAGTAATAGACTAGTCCAGATCAGTGTATAGGAATTAGATCAAGTCCAAAAAGAGGGGTCAGAGGATCTTTAACACCCCAGTGGATCACCATGAGTTGTACACAACCCCTCTCAAACATTCTTATCAATGAATACCAAATCACTCCAGCTGTGGCACAGATCTATGAAATGTCAGGTAAGCTTGGCTCAAAATTGAAAAAATAATATTATAAATCTACAAATCTTTAAAAAAAAAAATACAAAAAAAAATTGTAAAAAATCATATAAGAAATAACTAGAAATATCATGGTAAAACTTCAGTCCTAAATTTGCATTTTATTTTTATATAATTAGATTGATATCTTCCTTCTTAAAAATTTAACAACATCAATTATAATCTACTAAAAAAATAAAAATAAAAAATAAAAAAAATTGTCCATGTTTACCTTGAAATTTTCACAGGAAAAAGGTAAAAGTTCAGTGTTTTTTTGGGTTTCTTTTATTGGGGTGGGGGGTGGGGGGTTCCCAGGGTGCATGGCAGATTACTGTACATGCAACATCATTACATTCCACTCCATGTAAACCAAAATGAAGTTGACCAATCTTTGCTATAAGAATATAAGTCAGTGCCAATTCGATGTCAGGTGCTGAGATAAACACTGTTTAAATGAAGAGAATTAAATCACAGATGATAAGACGAGTGGGATTTGTCACAGTGATCAGTAGGGTTGTGATAGATCACGCTACACAAAAATGTCTGGCGCTACAATCCTACTTCTTCTGTCAGTCGGGTTAAGTTCAATCTTTAAAGCTCTAAAACCCTAATTATCTCTGTTTTATATAAATACTGTATTGATATCTTATGAAATGTGGTATTAATATCTAGCATGGAATTATTTGCAGTTTCAATAACAAGGGAATATCTCATTACATTAAATTCCATCCAGCTTATGTTCATCTTTGATTCAGACCAAAGTACACTGTATGGGTATAGTAAATACATGTACAGTGACCTGTCCATGTAAAGACCTCCCCAGATCGATACTCCCAGGAAAAAACTGACATCTCTTTAACACTACTGATCTTAGTTAGATATTTATTCAGATACATTTTTAAGGATGGAACATATAAAATTTAGTTACTGGTAATGATTTTTTTTTTGTGGTTAGTTCTTGCAAATAAGTCAGATAAAGGAAATTCACAAAAATAAATATCCACAAAAATAAAGTGATTTACAGTAATACCAGGGTAAGGGAGTACAATGTAGTTGGATACTTGTAGTGTGGGTTAAATACTTCCAAGCCAGGTCCTCTTGACTACAGCATCCTCAACAGGGGGCATTAATAATAACAGTAGATATGATTGCGGTCATATCAGTAACTTACAGGAGGTCACGAGCTTTCCCAGTCAAGTGGGCGAGTTTTAGGTCCCTATGATGCTCCTCTATGGCCCCGTACATGTCCTTGAACTCCTGGACACCCATCAACTGAAATGTACAACAAGAGAAAACAATAAACCGGAGTCGGACTGTTAAAGATGACCTGGACATTCAAATTCTAAATTAGTTCCACACAGTTCTGGGTTTTTATACCTAACCGAAACATGTAAATAAAGTTTCTAGACTATTTTTTGTTGTTTTTTTTAGTTTCTATTGTAGTCTTCTTTCTGTATCAACTTTGAGTTTGTTTTCTTTACGTGTGTTGACAACTTGACATAATGGTATATTTTGTCCATTTATGTTGACCGTGGTATATTTTGTTCATTATTTATGTTGACATTGTGGTATATTGTGTCCATTATTTATGTTGACATTATGGTATATTTTGTCCATTATGTTGACATTGTGGTATATTTTGTCCATTTATGTTGACATTGTGGTATATTTTGTCCATTATTTATGTTGACCCTGTGATACATTTTGTCCATTTATGTTGACATTGTGGTATATTTTGTCCATTTATGCTAACATTGTGGTATGCTTTGTCCTTGTGTGTTGACAACGTGATATATACTTTGTCATTTTGTGTTAGCACTGTGGCATACCTTTTCCCTACTTTAATTATTCAAGTCCTTGAAATGTAAATTTATGGATATACTATTGATGTCGCTTTCTCTTTTTTTCTTTTCAATTAAACATGTATCCATACAATTACTTTTAAAGATCTTTTATACCAGGAGGTCTATTGAAGGTATTTTGTTACCTATAGCAGTGTGCATATCTTTAATTACTGCATGGTTAAGCTTAGATCAGTAAGATAGATTCCATAAAATTTATTGTTTAAACAGGGTAAAATCTATTCAGATTTATATCTGTACGTGTATTGTACATGTACATATACTGATTAAGTTTGATATGTCTTAAAAGTCTGTTCTGGTTAAACATACAATGTCATATAATTTGGTAAAAAAGGAAAACCACTGTCAAAAGTTCTTTCACAAAACAAAACCTTGTAAATGAAACTGAATATGTCAGTAACACAACATAGTAGTAATTCTGTATGGTCTGTTTGGAAGTAAGGATCCCTGTCCCACTGCACTAGATACATGTAATTCTATTGTAGGTTTTCGTACCTACGTACAGTGAGTGGCCTCCCCTTAATCAGTGAGTGGCCTCCCCTTAATTATGTTTTGGTATACAATATGTATACTAGTAACTGTAGCGTAACATAGCAAGAGCGTTACTACCAGGTAGCACAGTTGGTTAGATCAAACATCGTAGGTAGGAGTGTTCTCAACATTAACCAGCTTCACAAGTTAAATAGGTGGAATACTTTTATTGCATGCGGACCGGTTTCCCCAGGGCAAAGATACAACAATTTTCAGCCCCTAAAGTACCCTCAAAGTGCATGGTACCTTGTACATGTGACGTTACATTGTTATCAAGTACGGTAACTCTAATTTCAAAGTTATTAATATAGAATATGATTGATAATGTTATCTGATAAGAAGAATTAATTTAAACATTATAATTAAATGCTGTGTTACAATTATCTGTTAAAAGTCCAATCCTATCTCATCTTGGCAGTCTGTTACCTCACTCTGATATCCCAATAGTTTGTAATAAATTAATCCCCTTTCTGATGAAAGTCAATTCAGTGACAGTATTATGATCAGAGGTATAGGGTTTGCAATTTTTAAAACTCAGAATAATCAAGTTTTAATAATCTCTGAATTACTAAAGGGTCATTTTTTTTTTTCATTTGGTGTGTTCACACATCTATAAAATGAACATTTAAAGTAAATGCTGATATATATATATAAGGTTATGACAGCTGTGTAGGTGATGTGTTTACCTTGCTGGTGGCATGGCTTGTATTTTATGTATTTAGCTGTTAAACATTAAAAATTCATTCAAATTGCAAGGACTGCCGTTACCATCAAACACATTCATTAGTCAAATATTGATTCAATATATGTATTGACATGATAAATATACAGAGAACTTTCTTCAGCACATACATGTATGCATAATTGTGTAGTAACGAACAGCTAATACATATGTACTTACAAAGGGAAACGAAAGAAAACATTATTCAACCAAGTATTGATATTTCAATTTAGAATCTTTCAGTTCAAAGAAAGAAATTTTATTATTGATTATTTATATAGTGTGTAACTTCAGAAATGTTTGTATAGGCAGTCATGTATAGACTGGGTTTATATACTTTACATATGATTTTGAATGCAGGCTTTACATAACCTGTAATAGACAAATCTAGATCTACCTACCCCCTCTATAGTAATACTTAGGGTACGATGTGATTATACACATAGAATATTATACCTATATCATTATCAGGTGACTGAATTTAAACTTCTTGACTTTTGCTGGAAAGAAAACAGTTTCAAGAACAACTGCAAGGTATAATGAAACTCAACACAGCTTGTTGACACCTGGCCGACATTTTAAATTGTGGGTAAAATACATTGTCAATGAATTCAGTGAGATATACAAACTGCAAGTCTAGAGTACCTTCAACATTTTATTTTATTTCAAGTTTTTGTAGAGTGGATCATAATTTTTAAATATCTAACACGTTTATTTTCATACTGATTATTATAGATTTTTTTATACTTTATAGATTTTTTTTCTAAGAAAATGAAGAAAATATACATATACATGTAAGAAACAGCAAAACAAGTGGCCTAAACTGCCGGTATGTTTAAGCATTTGAGCAATATATTCTTTTCAAAAGTATTATTTGATGAGTCATGGCAAGAGTGCAGGTGTTTATTTCTGAGAGAGTACAGGTAGGGTACCTAATAGTTTCCGTGTTATGAACCAGGGAGTAAGTGCTCAGGGGCAAGGCCAGACCCCTGCTGAGTCATGGTAGCATTAAGGTCATAGGAGTGTATTGATAAACGGAAATAGGAGTACATCCCTAGTTGAAAATCCAATGTAGGGAGACAGTATCACAATTTCCGCATATTCTAATGTTTAATATTAAACTGATGAATATTGTATGTTTAATTATTGACAGAACAGTGTGTTCTTTCAATATAAAAGTATTTGAAAGCAATCCAGGCATTAATTCAGTTGTTTTTTAATCAATGAGTCACATATGTGTCCATTTTTCTGTACTTCAGGAAACCGGCTACCTATTTCACTACTGTGAAGTTTTTCAAGAACGATAACTCTTACATGCAATTACTATGTGTATATCGTTTTATATAAAATGCCAATTTTTAATCGTTTATAGATAATTAATTTTACACAATTTTAGCATTTATGAAATTGATATACATTAATGCAATACTAATCTATGTCAGTATCATTTTTATTGACATTATTTTGCAATTATTGTGTGTTTCATATATTTTTCAAAATTCACTCCTTTTTACATAAATTTCCATTTAAAATCCTTACAAAATTCTGACAACCTATATTTTTTTTGTGGCAGAAAATGTTCTTTACTTCAAAGCAATATAACTACAAAATTTGAAGAAATTCTACTGGGAAATGGCGACACAATCCTATTACCTTAATGTATTTTCTTCTTCAAGCCTAATTATATATAATTGTTATAGGAAAGAGGGATTTCAACTGTTTCTATGTAATGACCAAGAGAGTAAGTATCCAGGGGTGGGGCTGGATATCAGAGCCAATAGTGGTCGCATGAACAAAGTTTTCTCTTTCTCTTCATGCCTAGCAATTGTGTATATAGTTATAGGGTGGGAATCTCAAGTGTTTCCATGTTACGACCCAGGGAGTTAATCATTAGGGTGCGGATAACATTGGACACCCAGGACAATCCTGTTAAGATAAATGTATGCATCTCTCTCAAATCCAACAACTGTTTATATGGTTATAAGGTGAGAGTTTCAAACTGTTTGCAAAATCCCCAGGCCAATACTATGGTACATGTTAGCATAGTGTATTCAACCTTTCATGCCAACTACATGTACATGAATCCCCTGGTGTAAGATTATGAAGCAAAAACACCCTTGATTCACATTTTTGACCCTACCCTTCTGGCCTCAGGAAATTAGTGTTTCAGACAAAATAAGGTAGCAGTCTGCATCGTTCAGCTCAGAAACAAGTTTAAAAATAAAATTGTATTATTTTGGTTCACTTTATACCACATGCCCCTGGCCCAAGGTCCGTCTCACAAACTTCATTTATATAAAAAATCAAGGACAAAGCCGAACACATGCATTTCAAACTTTCTGAGAAGTAAATGTATATTCATGCTTTTGCTTTTTGTACTTTCATTGGTTGAAATCTGAGAAAGTATCATTTAACGATAATTTGTCACTTGTGAAAAATTTCAATCCTTTTGATATTTCTCATCATTTGATGAATAATTGCCAATATTTCACTGGTAAAATTTAAAATTGATACACTTTGTTATGTATTTGTGTTGTTTTTTATATTGAAGAGAAATACAAAAAGTACTGTAGAGTGTGGTCAAAGTAAGAATTTGATCACACTCAGCCACGATTTAAGCTGTGACTTAAGGCTATATACAATCATTACCAGCGTATATGTAATGTTCAAAGCTTTCGTTACCAAATACAACTATTGTAGGTATAGTGAGACAGCTGGGTTTTAACGTCTATATAGGGTTCAGCTGTTTAGGTTGTACCTCAATACATGTACTACCGGTACATATTTAATGTAAGCGTTAAGGAAAATTTATCCATATGTTGATCAAACATGGCAATTGGTTGGCAATTCTTAACCTGATTTAAAGGTACAGCAATCCTTTAAAATTCAGTCAGCCGTTAAAATTCGATTTCACACATGTGTTGATTATTCCATAGTACCATTCCCTGTCAATTTCCAATTTAATTAAGCAACAACCACAGGAAATAAAATTCTTTGACTAGGGGCAACCTGTGTTGGACCTCAAAACAGGAATTAAAATAGCTTTATATATAGGACAACTTCGGGTAAAACTATCACATATTTTTGTCAGATTCAATGCTACACAAACAGCAGCTCTGTCCAACTTTTATGTACTACAGAGGGATGGTCTGTTCGATTTTTATGTACTACAGAGGGATGGTCTGTCAGAGTTTTATGTACTACAGAGGGATGGTCTGTTCGATTTTTATGTGCTTTAGAGGGATGGTCTGTCAGACTTCTATGTACGACGGAGGAATGGTCTGTCAGACTTCTATGTACTAAAGAGGGATGGTCTGTCAGTCTTTTATGTACTACAGAGGGATGGTCTGTCAGGCTTTTATGTACTACAGATGAATGGTCCGTCAGACTTTTATGTACAACAGAGGGATGGTCTGTCAGACTTTTATGCACTACAGAGGGATGGTCTGTCAGACTTTTATGTGCTTTAGAGGGATGGTCTGTCAGACATTTATGTGCTTTAGAGGGATGGTCTGTCAGAGTTTTATGTACTACAAAGGGATGGTCTGTCAGACTTTGATGTACTACAGAGGGATGCTTTGCCAGTGTTTTTAATTGCATGAGTCTGTACTTCAGGCCTGAGAAATTCTCATGATCAGTCCCCTCAAAGTTGCATGAAGAGTTCATCTTTGATGAGAATGACTGTGATTGAGGGGCCGAGATTCCTTTGTTTTGATACTATAATGGTAGTCTTAGAGCCTTAGTTTCCATTGTTTGCATTAAGAGGACTGAAGTATACCCTTTAACTCCAAAAATTTGACAATAATAATTATAATACACAACTTAAACAATTATTCAAAATTAAAGGGTGCAAAATAATTTTTGGGAGTTTAGGTTTTAAGTGACAAAGAATGTTTTCAAAGTATACCAGATACATGTATATTTAAAACTCTTCAAAGTTGATGTTTGAAACACTATACATGTACACCTGCGTGCTATCACATCTACATGTGTGTACATGTAAACGTAGGCAACAGATTATCAATTCTGCATAGATATGTAAGTACATGTACTGCATTTATCCTGCAATAAGACATGCATCCTTGATAACCATGGGTTACACTCACCTTCACTTTGCACCCCTAGAATATGTCATAGCAAAATTGAAGGCATGTTGCTAGCTATTTGATTAGTCTCAGGTAAAAAAGCCTGACCAATCACTAGGCTGATACCTGTCCTTTGAAGATTACAAAGGAGCGACGTCCGACTTCAAAGCCAGTAAGTTTTACCAGCTCCTACCAACGAAGCTTCAGTCAAATATCATGGCTCTATGCCAGTTCGTTCTTCAGAAGAAGTTGTTATAAGGAAAAATTGATGAACGAACAACGGATGCCGCACCATGACATATAAGCTCACTTTGGTGTACATCAAAGGATCAAACTAGTCTTCTTATCTCATCCACAAGGTGGCGCACACTGAGCCTTCAATTTTGCTATGACATATTCCAGGGGTGCAGAGAGCGCAAGTGAGGATAATTAACCCCTGGAGTATCGACGATGTACGACATGGGGACAAACACATTTATAAAGTCTGACTTAAACTAGAGAGTAATGGTTTATTGCAGGACATTGAAATATCATCTGTTAGTATTTCTACTGAACTGTATCTGACTAATGGGTGGGCTAGTCACCAGACATGGGCTTATTTCAGGATACATATGGTAATAATATAGAGGACATAAATGAGTTTTAAGTTTTAAATTATACAAAAACTATGAAATGAGATATGAGTAAAAGACTGTAAAATACTTATTGTTTTGCACTGTAAACAATATTGTATTTTGGTATTACAATGTGTGATTATTACAGTAAAATCTCATATCTCTCTTTAATATTTTTTATGAGCTGCCATATTTCCAAATTTGATCAAACCTCCCTAGACTTATTTAAAATTGTATGTAAGAATTAAACATACTCTATCTATATTGTTCTGCAAGAAAATACATATAAGAACTTAAGAAGTCACATCAATTATTCCCTGTATAGATTAAATATTTCAAATATTCTGTGGGTTTGTCTAACCGCGAAAGTCTATATATCAACACACATACAAACTACCCCTTTGATTAATGAACACTGCAAAGCATTTGGGTAAAGACATACTCTGCCGATGAACATTGCCCAGGAGTGTGTAGTGTTATTTTGATGGAAATTTTCTTACTTTTTAAATTAAACTGACCTTGTAAGACCTCTTTTTCAACTTTACTGATTTATTGTTTATATATATGTACATCAAGAAGACTGTTTACAGGCACATTAATACAGCATATAGAAAGAAAGTTTATGCATCAAAACTTTTGGCAAGAATGTAGTGTAAAATACATCTTTAGTGACTTTAAGCAAGAGAGGTGGCTGTCCAGTGTCCACACACAGAATTAACCTTTCATCTTGTACTTTTTAGTGCTATTTACATTGCACCAAGAACACTAACAAAACCTTGTCAATAGATTTACCTAGACATAGCTGGGCCTTTAAACTGGAAATCTGATTACTGATCTATAAATGACACGATTCTTTTACGGATTATGCTTGTAAAGCACATGGGTTTTATTTATTTATCTTTAGTATTTATCAGACTGTTAATCTAAAGCTATCAATAACTAAGTAATAAACAAAGGTTCCCAGCTGGCCAATCACAAGGAATCAGACTTAACAGTCGCAACCATTTTAGTGTTAATTACCTTTAAGGTTTACAAACATTATAAAGCCATTTTGACCTGGAAAATTAAACATAACACCATTTTCGCTATCAAGCTCACCAAACAAATAAATGGGGTGCTTAGCCAAGAATTAGAATTTGTTATTGTGAACATTGCAGAATATATAGTGCTCGTTATTATTCTTATTTATGTATATTGGAGGCGTAGTGGTTTAGTGGTCTAAGTGAATATTTATTGGCAAGCTACATGTATACAGATGAATTGATCTGATAGATTGTGAGTTTGAGGTTCAGAAATTGAGCACAAGTCATAACATATCTTCCTTTGTCTTTGTCACTGTCTAATAAATATATTTATATACAATGTCTACAGTTTAATACATTATAAAAGATCACTATTGTTTTCCCCTACATGTATTAATCATCTTGTCTTGATAAAGCAACAGGTTTTTAACTCATTCATCCCTGAAAATTTTATAATGAACTATTCCAACCCTAGAATTGGAAGAGTCCAAATGTGTCTTCAGGGGTGAATGAGTTAATTTCAGAAAAAAAATACTTTTCCAGATCGTTCACTATATGCATTGCTCTTATGTATTAAACTTTAAGGAAAATATGTTTTATAAGCTACAAGCACAGGAAACAAATACTACAGTTTATGATAAACAGCTCTTACCCGTGACTTTTTGAGATCCTTGAGTCCGGTCTCCAAGGTTCCCAGCTCTGTCTGCATTAGTAGGGTTCCCATTATGATGCACACCTGACTATGCACGACTAATGTACAACGCAGCGTATTCACTTATCCATCAAGTTTTGTCACATCAACCTGTCAAATCACAGAAATCAAATTATATTTTTTAATACCTGACATTGTACATGTGTTAATCAACTATTGTTGATGCCCCACCACCGTACTGTAAATAACTCAATTTTTGTGAAATCTTATTTTCACCATTGTGATTTAGATGATGTATTTCAAAGGATCTGAAAGTTAAATATTTTGATTTAAATGAATGCCACTATTTGTGAGACGCAAACTTCCATGCTTAACTTTCCTCATGAATTAATGTAAAAAATATATAAAAATTAATAGTGATGATTATATATTACTTTGTATCCATTTGGTCTAAACTGAGAAAAATAGGATGGTTTCGGTCTATCTGTTATATTTCCTGCTGATTACCAATGTTTCATACAGTATTTATGGTCACATACATTTTAGTTAAACATATGTGCATTCATCACTAATTAAAGAATTGAAGAAAAAAAATATTTGTGCATACTGTAAAATATGTACACTGCGATTTATGTGAATTAATTTCCTGGCAAATACAGTAGTGTGCAAATTGGTTTGGACACAATTTGTTCTAGTTAACAATATTAGATACTAATTAGGCACAAAAATATTTAAATATAAAATAAATGAAAATGAAAGATGGGAAATGTTAAATTTACTTACCATATACATTTAGTGTGACTCTTCGGAATTACGACTCATGTTATTATGTAAGTTTATAAATAAGTCAACAGGTGTTTATATTGTAAAATAAATAGAAACATATCGAAAGTCAATACCTCAATACAGGTGATTGAAGTTAAAGTTCAGATTCAATTTATATGGTATTTAATTACACTTAATTCTCCAACGAACTGAACATTTTTTTGTAGTAATCTATTAATCCCAAATACATGTAAATTATACTAATGAGCAGACCAACGTATGAGAGGGAAAGGTCATTCCTTGTATAGAAAAGAACTTCAGATTATTATCTGTGATTTAACTCCAGTTTTAAGCATCTTAAACAGTCAAACATTTTCACAGGTCTTTGTTATAATATACATACTAACAGTCAAAGAATTGTTACTGTTTGTAAACTTTGATATATTTTATTAGGAAGAGTATGACTGAATACTGATATTTTTCATGAGCACTAAGCACAAGATAGTGTATTGGTATATACTACAACACAAGTGAGTGTATTGGTATATACTACAACACAAGTGAGTGTATTGGTATATACTACAACACAAGTGAGTGTATTGGTATATACTACAACACAAGTGAGTGTATTGGTATATACTACAACACAAGTGAGTGTATTGGTATATACTACAACACAAGTGAGTGTATTGGTATATACTACAACACAAGTGAGTGTATTGGTATATACTACAACACAAGTGAGTGTATTGGTATATACTACAACACAAGTGAGTGTATTGGTATATACTACAACACAAGTGAGTGTATTGGTATATACTACAACACAAGTGAGTGTATTGGTATATACTACAACACAAGTGAGTGTATTGGTATATACTACAACACAAGTGAGTGTATTGGTATATACTACAACACAAGTGAGTGTATTGGTATATACTACAACACAAGTGAGTGTATTGGTATATACTACAACACAAGTGAGTGTATTGGTATATTCTGCAACACAAGTGAGTGTATTGGTATATTGGTATATTCTACAACACAAGTGAGTGTATTGGTATACTGGTATATTCTACGACATAAGTGAGTGTATTGGTATATTGGTATATTCTACAACATAAGTGAGTGTATTGGTATATTCTACAACACGAGGAAGTTTATTGGTATATTCTGCAACACAAGTGAGTGTATTGGTATATTGGTATATTCTACAACACAAGTGAGTATATTGGTATATTGGTATATTCTACAACATAAGTGAGTGTATTGGTATATTCTGCAATACAAGTGAGTGTATTGGCATATTCTGCAACACAAGTGAGTGTATTTGTATATTCTGCAACACAAGTGAGTGTATTGGTATATTGGTATATTCTACAACACAAGTGAGCGTATTGGTATATTCTGCAACACAAGTGAGTGTATTGGTATATTCTGCAACACATGTGAGTGTATTGATATATTCCACAACACAAGTGAGTGTATTGGTATATTGGTATATTGGTATATTCTGCAACATAAGTGAGTGTATTGGTATATTCTACAACACAAGTGAGTGTATTGGTATATTGGTATATTCTACAACATAAGTGAGTGTATTGGTATATTGGTATATTCTGCAACATAAGTGAGTGTATTGGTATATTCTTCAACACATGTGAGTGTATTGATATATTCCACAACAAAAGTGAGTGTATTGGTATATTGGTATAGTCTACAACACAAGTGAGTGTATTAGTATATTCTGCAACACAAGTGAGTGTATTGGTATATTCTGCAACACTAATGAGTGTATTGGTATATTCTGCAACACAAGTGAGTGTATTGGTATATTCTGCAACACAAGTGAGTGTATTTGTATATTCTGCAACACAAGTGAGTGAATTGATATATTCTGCAACACAAGTGAGTGTATTGGTATATTCTGCAACTCAAGTGAGTGTATTGTTATATTCTGCAACACAAGTGAGTGTATTTGTATATTCTGCAACACAAGTGAGTGTATTGGTATATTCCCCCCCACAAGTGAGTGTATTGGTATATTCTGCAACTCAAATGAGTGTATGTGTATATTCTGCAACACAAGTGAGTGGATTGGTATATTCTGCAACACAAGTGAGTGTACTGGTATATTCTGCAACTCAAGTGAGTGTATTGTTATATTCTGCAACCCAAGTGAGTGTATTTGTATATTCTGCAACACAAGTGAGTTAATTGATATATTCTGCAACACAAGTGAGTGTATTGGTATATTCTGCAACACAAATGAGTGTATGTGTATATTCTGCAACACAAGTGAGTGTATTGGTATATTGGTATATTCTACAACACAAGTGAGTGTATTGGTATATTCTGCAACACAAGTGAGTGTACTGGTATATTCTGCAACACAAGAGAGTGTATTGGTATATTCTGCAACACAAATGAGTGTATGTGTATATTCTGCAACACAAGTGAGTGGATTGGTATATTCTGCAACACAAGTGAGTGTATTTGTATATTCTGCAACACAAGTGAGTGTATTGGTATATTCCCAAACACAAGTGAGTGTATTGGTATATTCTGCAACACAAGTGAGTGTATTGATATATTCTACAACACAAGTGAGTGTATTGGTATATTGGTATATTGGTATAATCTGCAACATAAGTGAGTGTATTGGTATATTCTACAACACAAGTGAGTGTATTGGTATATTCTGCAACACAAGTGAGTGTATTGATATATTCTACAACACAAGTGAGGGTATTGGTATATTGGTATATTCTACAACACAAGTGAGTGTATTGGTAGATTGGTATACTCTACAACATAAGTGAGTGTATTGGTATATTGGTATATTCTACAACACAAGTGAGTGTATTGGTATATTATGCAACACAAGTGAGTTGGTATATTCTGCAACACAAGTGAGCGTATTGGTATATTGGTATATTGGTATAATCTGCAACATGAGTGAGTGTATTGGTATATTCTACACCACAAGTGAGTGTATTGGTATATTCCCAAACACAAGTGAGTGTATTGGTATATGCTGCAACATAAGTGAGTGTATTGGTTTATTCTACAACACAAGTGAGTGTATTGGTAGATTCGTATACTCTACAACATAAGTGAGTGTATTGGGATATTCTGCAACACAAGTGAGTGTATTGATATATTCTACAACACAAGTGAGTGTATTGTTATATTCGTGTATTGGTATATTCTGCAACACACGTGAGTGTATTGGTATATTCTGCAACATAAGTGAGTGTTTTGGTATATTCTACAACACAAGTGATTGTATTGGTATATTATACAACACAAGTGAGTGTATTGTTATATTCTGCAACACAAGTGATTGTATTGGTATATTATACAACACAAGTGAGTGTATTGTTATATTGTGCAACACAAGTGAGTGTATTGTTATATTCTGCAACACAAGTGAGTGTATTGTTATATTCTGCAACACAAGAGAGTGTATTGGTATATTGGTATATTGGTATAATCTGCAACATGAGTGAGTGTATTGGTATATTCTACACCACAAGTGAGTGTATTGGTATATTCCCAAACACAAGTGAGTGTATTGGTATATTCCCAAACACAAGTGAGTGTATTGGTATATACTACAACACAAGTGAGTGTATTAGTATATACTACAACACAAGTGAGTGTATTGGTATATTCTGCAACATAAGTGAGTGTTTTGGTATATTCTGCAACACAAGTGAGTGTATTGTTATATTCTGAAACATAAGTGAAATACTAGTATATACATTTGTATGTAAATATTCAATGGGAACACCACTAAGTTTTCTAGTATTTACATTAGATAAGTAAACAGTATTGCATGGAAAGAAGATGGGGAATCAACAGCATACTCTTTGGCTTCATATACATGCACTTACTAATGCTATGTTCGACAAGAAGGCTTCACACCGTTTTTGAATCAGTTCCGCAGTGCATGTCTACCATTGGTTTTATTATCTAGTAAGACTGTCTTACAAATTGTAATCAAATGATGAATGAGTATATTTTAATCAACCACCCTCACAAACCTTCCCCAGTAGCAATATCCTTTATTTGACTTCTACTATTTAATCTAAACCAAAAATGGTGTCAAACTCAACAAACCCTCATCTATTTATTATACAGGTACAGTATATCTTACCAATAAATAATTTGTGCTTTATATTTTTGAGTAAATAAGTAAAGTCAAAATAAAAGGTGAAACTCACAAAAATCAGATTTGTTTTCAGTTTGTTTTGGCTACATTTTACTGTTAGACCCCCAAATGAACATCAATTTAAGTGTCATGCTGAATCAGTGGCAAGGCTTCACATATCTTACCTAAAAACTGAAACCTCACAATATGTTAAGTCCAAAAGAGATGAAAACCTTCATAATATTAAACATACTTATTTTCATTTTCACTATATCAATGTTAGACCCACTATGAACCTCCATATAAAAAATCAGTCAGCTAGCAGCACACAATCTGAATCAATGGACAACCCTACCCTGTAAACCTTAACCTACAAATGTACATCAGTACCTGGCCTAGTCAATCACACCAGCAAAGCTCTCTATTCTTTAATCAGGCAAGTTCAAAACTGATATACCCACAATCTGTAGACCACTTTTGTCAATAAGCTACCAAACCATGCACCCAGGCTTTATAACATCAAACCAAAAGCAAATAAGTATCTAGCCATCTAGACCCTTAACAAAACTCCCTTCTGTTACCCATCCTCTTCAGACCCTTTTTCCTACCATCATGCAGACACCCCATCAATCACCCTCAGAAAGGCTTTGAGTTCAGTGAGGTAGTCCTCTAAAGTTGGCATCAGATTCACTCTATCACAAGGAGGCAAACTCTAGTACATGCAATATTACAATCATTACACACACATGGTACATCCTTCATAACCTCAGCTGTCAATATGATGCTAAAATAACTAAGATTTAACTTCAAGTATGAGCTTCATGGATACCCCCACTCTCCACTTGTCTGTTCCTATATGAATAGTAATTGTACTCAAGGTCAAGGTCAAAACATTGGGTGTTGGCCTGATATCATGACAGGACACACAGCCTGACCATTATGTACACTATATTTAAAATTTGAGGTCATAATGAGGTTCCAATAAACCAACTTTAGTATTGTAACATATTGCTTGACTCTAGAGTACCCTGATCACCTCAAGTCTGAAGTCCATACATAAAACAGTTATCCGGTAAGCCAAGATATAATTCAGAATCTGTTTTACACTTTGTTTAAGTACTTGAGGTAAAGGTCGAATAGAGGTCACAAAGACCTCATTTTAGGATGTAACACTTTGCCTATACCTTTGACAAAGTTTGATGCTTGTTTTCGAAATTGTGCCTGTGATATGTACTGGTCAGCAGTCAGCACGAGGACATTGGGATGCATGCACACACAGACAGATGACCCCTGAAATGAATGCGATATACCCTGATTCAGAGGAATTGGAGGTAAAATCAAATATAATCTGTCGTGTCTTTTCTAGACTCTTTTCCCTCTCTTTAGCCATGCCCACTCCCTGGAAGTCCCCCTTCTCTGACTATAACCAATTCCATCTTGCTGCCATCAACCAACTGTCACAATACACCCTATATTCCTGCCAGTCACTCCTACTCACTAAAGATGTCCCCTCATTTCATCCAATTCAATCTTGTCACTCTCTTCCCTATAGCTATAACCCCTTACCTCACGCATTCACAAACATTCTCTTGACTCAACTTTTATCGATCACTCCTTAATATACTTCATTGACTCCTCCCTCCTTTCATTCACCCTTTTGAGACCACCCTCTTGCATTTGCCATCCACCCTCTTGAGACTTCCCCTCCTGTTATCTTCCCTCTTCAGGCTACCCTTGTGCCATACACCTGCTCGGGACCCCTTCATGGTTTTCACCAGGCCCAATCTCCCAGGCACAGTGCTAGCATTATTTGTCCAGCAATCAGCTCTTGTCAATCAATGAAAATGACTGAATTAATGCAACAGGAAGCTCTATAAAACCTATGATACCTCTTCATCAACCAATTCTCTATATTCTTTCTTCAAGCCGCCGAGATCCCCAGCTCTTTCCCTCTTCCTCCTCTGTCCCTCCTCTTCCTCAGTCCCTTTTTTCTCCTTCTCTCCAATCTACTAGCAATACCCCAACNCCCCCCCCCCCCCCCCCCCCATCTGGGCCCTCTGTCTCTTTAATTATCCTCTTCTATATGGATCAAACATAAAAAGGTACATAAACTTGAGTTATTAAATAATTATGTATACATTAAATGGTGTATGTACCATGATAGTCAACTTCATATATATAATATACATATTGTGCTTAGATGTATATATAGTTAAACTCATTTCTTAACATTGGATTGATTCTACCATTTACGGTATATCAGGTTACTATCCACCCACAGCCTAAACCTACTCCAGGTCTGCTTAGCGTATATACCTTGACCCAAACAATGAGCTGCATTCATTATCCACCATACACCCTCTGATATTGTCTATTGTTAGACTGTCGACAGAACGGTTTTAATCAGAGGATATCGGTTTTGAACGTCTGCTGGCCAGCGCTTGGCATATACTTCTGATACAAACACACTCCACTTCACACCACCTGTGCGACATGCAGGGGATCTAGAATTCATTATTCAATAGCAGGCCTACTTTAAATGCATCATAAATCTTAAGTACTTTTAATGAAACAGCCTTTCAAGTGAAAATAAAAACACCTTATTACCTTCAAATTCAAAATTTGTTTATCCACTGTAAATTGTTAACCAATATCCATATACTGCAGTAACATGCCATTAACTGCCGATTACATTCACTTTATCATCTTTTTTCTCCCACAATCACTATTTGTTTCCTTACTCCTGACTCATTTGATTAACCTACTGGAAGTTGGTATACACTTTTGGTTACCTACTAGTGGATAACACCATGGACTTTATGCCATTGGTCAATCTTCTAATTATGACATCATGTAACATAACAATGCTTTGCGACGCATGTCATATTCCATATAGTCATTTGCATCATAATTTCAAATTTCAAATTTCTACTGCCACTGTATACATAATTGTATACTTCCCTGGAGCACAGGGACATGTTACCTTATAAACTGTAGAGGGACTTGGCCAGGTGACTGCACTGACCAGGTAGTTCAATCATTTGGTGAGAATATCCATCTAGATTTCAGGGGGCCTGGTTAGAATACATGTACCTGTCTGGTCTTATCACATTTTCCCTTTTCTGTTACAGTGGTGCTTGTGACTTACCCTTAAGTTTCGAATACTGAGGATACTCTCAGCAAGAGGATATATATAAGCCATCCGGTGGGGGTATAAGAGTTGTTTTCAGGGACAAAGACAAGAAACGGAGGTAGGAGTGTTGTGAAACTGGACTGGGTCACTCACCAGAGACATCAGGTTCGAAACCAGATCTAACCCTAATGCAGTATCTATCTCCTGTTACAGTGGTGTCCTGAATATGCAATCCATGTTTCAAGCACTAAGTGTGCTCTTGGCAACGAGTTATGTACCGTAACCTGGGCTGTAAATAGTATTGTTTTAGGGTACGTAGAAAGACATATGAAAAGGAGGAAGAAGCGAAGCCGGATGACCATCCGTGACTGGCAGGTTGCTCAGTTAGTGACAGCATACCAGTAGAGTTTGGAGCTATATTTTAGGTCCTGGGTTTGAATCCCAGTCTGGCCCTGTTGTTTTTTCCCTCTCATGTTACTGTGGTGCCTGTAACCAACCCTTGATTAAAGTACTGCATATGTGCATGGAAAAAAGGACACCCAGTGAACTTAGTTGGTTTGTAAATAGGGGAATGTTTTCTAGGGCAAAGACTTAAAAAGAAGAGAGGTGATAGTGTGTAGTGAGGCTAGGCTTAGTGACTGTCATTGACAAGGTACTTATCCACTGGTTAGACCGTCCATCTAGAGTTTGCCTGGATCCCTGGTTTTAAATCTCAGCAATCCTGCCCCTTTGCAGTTTCCCTTCCCTGTTGTAACGCTAAGTAAAAAGGTCTCATGGCACATCCCCTAGCCCTATGCAATGGACTCAGAAGTATTAAAGCCTTTAATTTGATTACAGAAACTTATCAATTGCATAAGTCAAAATATCATCAAAATTCTGTACTATTAACATTGTCACTTTCATGAAATATATGTTTTAAAATATTTTTTCTATAAAAGTGTTCCACATGAATCACATTCTCACAATTGATAAATGAATTTTACCAAATATTGTAGTTGTTCGGCATTGGTGAGTACAGTATATTTGAAAACAGAAAAACAGTAAACAAACTTGAACAACAAAAGCTGCAGGGATCAAACCTCTGATATATATATTTTCATATATATTTATTACACTGGCAATCATATGTACGCTGTACTTCATTAACATGATGCTATATATATAAGACATGCACAGTATCAAAATGAAAGATGAACATTATAGTCCCAGTTTCCTCTGGCCCGGATACCAAAATTAGGCATTTGACAGATAGACTTATAATCTGCCAATACCACACATCTATCTGTCAAAATGTCTAAGTCGGGTGTCTAGGCTAGAGATCTAAAATGAATATACTGCAATAAGGAAAGTTTATCGTTCATGTAACTCTAAGCCATAACATATACATAGGGATATAAATACACTATGTTGAACACATGCAGTACTGCCCCTATACTCTTATAACATAAGAGGCTACTGGTCAGCCTTTTTTCTATCAGATATGATTTTGCTGACTGCGCCTGTCAGAAGTTACTCACTGTGTAAACCTCTAACACCAATACTTTACACTCTTGGGGTTAGATGGGGGAAATGAAGTTATTAATTAATGCGGGTTGAACTCGGACTGTGCAATTTAGAACTTTATATATATCCTTTTCTGAAATCATCGATCCACTAATAAGCCTTTTTACAGCACATGGGTGTCTCTGTACTGTAATATACCAAATAAGTAGATATATTATGTATTGTATATATATATTTAACTATTTGAAAAGATATAATTGTACATGCGGTATTTTAATGGAACCAAATTATACAGTTATCGATATGGCAATACTCATTATATATCGTTAAGAGGGTCGACGTTCCTAAACTGACCCACACCTGTACGATAAACAATAATTAGTCACGATCAGCTGCATATGTGACTGATTGATCTCGACTCACCGTAAACACATGGTCTGGAACAAGTGCCCGTCGGCACGGCTGGCACTCAGCAGTGTAAATCCTGTCTGGACATCAAAAACTGTACATATCCCTGTAACAATTTAATTGTGTAATCCTGTTCACTTCAAAATCCTCTAAACCTCGGGTACTATCCCCGACACACAGCTGTTTGCTTGGACACCTTTCTATGTGGGGAAGTGTAACTAACTTGACAACTGTACGCTTCATCACGTGACTTTTGTTGACTACTGTTCGGAACTACTCGGATATATAGTTATTTTGGCGCGAAATTATTTTAAGTAAGTGTGTTATCATCGTTTTTAGTTCAAAAGTAGAGATTTATTTAATAAGCCAACGCTTGCAATTGTAACAAACATGAAATATTAGAGTGATTGGAAAACAATCTTAGAGTTTTAAAAAAGTTTCAAAACTTAACAAGAGTTTATATTGTAATATGTACATTGTACGTCTCTGGTCGCAGAGACCAGAGACGTTTATATGTGTCTGCAGAGACGTAACATGTACAAGTAATGGTTAGTGTGATCCCAGAGGCGTAGCTAACCCTTGTTCGGAGTGGATTCATTTAGGAGCAGGTCCAGTGGACGGCCTTAATAGCTGAGGGGGACAAGGGGGTAGTACAACGAACATTTTTTTGTGATTTTTTCCCTGTTTAAAAATTGATGGATTCATATACATAGGCAGCTACGCGCCTGAGATGCATGTCTGTGATCATGTCAAATACCATCAGTATTAAAATGGCATATTATGATAAAATCGGTATTACATTTTTTCTGGAGTTAAATTTGAAAGATATTGAATATCTGTTAATTGTGTAAATAAATAATCTTTATCTTTATGGTCAATTTTACATATTCTCCTTTGGATGTTGTATCTTGCGTTGATAGTGAGGATTAAGGCGATTAGCAAACTAGACTACTAGACAACGTTTCTGTCAAAATGTATTCTGCCCGAGTGAAAAGGATGATTATCGGTTTTAGTTCCTCCTATAGCGACACATTAAGGGAAATTGGGTTTTACGTATTACATCGCCGTGGCTAAAATAAACATTTCCTTACAAACACATATCATATTTTGTATTGATATCTATCTGGTCGGGATGTTTGATATCGTTATTGTTACGAATTGATATCTGGCCCAAAGTTGTCGACCAAATTTCATAATCCTGACATGTTAATTATGTTTTGAAAGCCGAAGAAATGTCATTAAAAAAATTCAATATCATCAATTATTCTTTAAAAGCTTTACAATTTCAATCCACTTTAAAATATGTGTTAGAAATAATAGTTAATTCACCATTATATGATAAAAGTCACGTATTCCATTACTTCAATGAATGAACAAAAAATAGAAATACATTTTGAAAAAAATTCTTGCACGTACTACCGAAACATTGCAAGATTAGTGTTGTATCTATTGTAATAAATTCGCTCTTGATTTATACGTTGACTATTCCGATTATATACCTAATACGTAGAAGGTCGTCGTTTAAGTGGAATATGGTGTTTTTCTTGACGCCTGTTAACATATTTGAATAGTCAAAGGGAAACAACTTACTTCAAAATCTCGAATTCACTATGAAACGTAATCCCCGAGTGCACGTGGCGAAACATACATGTATGCTTGTATGCTCAGTCATACACTAAAGATTTTTTTAATAAGATTATTTGTATTAATTTCTTTCTTTTTTTATGATTGATATGGACCGTCCGTATCAATCATAAAAAGTAAAGTAATAAAAAAAATTCTTGACAATTTTAATTTGATACAATGGTGTTGCTATGTTGTGTCTATACACAGTGAAACATCTCGAAGGACTACGTAAATCAAAAACTACTTATTCAAGTACAAAATTCAATGTTTTTCATATAAAAGGTCGGGTTTTACTTGTTTATTATCACACTAAAAGGAGTTCCCAGAATACGACAGATTGCTTCTAGGGCCTAGTAGAATTTCTTTTTTTCCAGCAACGAGAGGGGAAATCCCCCTCTCATACCCTCACCCTCATTCGGCGCTACGCGCCTCGGACGCTCAACCCTCTGTACGCATTCACTTCGAAAAATGATTTGCTACGCCACTGGAGTGTGAGTAAGATGAGTTTTTAATTAACGGCGTCGGTTCGGGAGATTTTGTAGGAAACAATTTCCAGAAATAAATTACAGAAAAAGAATAATGTAAGATAATGTGATACCAAAAACGGGCAACGCGAAATAATTTTAAGTAGTCAATGCAACTACGCCGCTGTTTTAGAGACCTCTATTATTATTTTTTTATTCAAAGTTAACATCCCCAGTCGGACATAAATGTGAACACTGGACATTATATTGTTTATTGAGGGACGTCAAGTAGCAAGTAAGACAGAACTTGCGTTAGTTACAGTATAATTCTTAATTCATATGTCAGATATTATATTGATTTTGTAGCAATGGGTGAATTGGAAGAATGCTAGCGTCTCGTTAGTTTCGCGGTTTATTTAGAGTACACTCCGGGTTTTTTTTTGTTATATCTTCATAACATAAAAAATATATTTAAGTTAATCCTTAAGGATGTACTCTTCTGAGGTTTTAATCACGTTCAAGAAAACGTAATAAAAACTAAATGTCTGTTGTTTGTAGAACTTTTTTTACAAGAATTTGAAAAAATTACCTATTCGGCGGCCATTTTGAAAATGTGTATTGATGTGTATTTCTTGGGCTTCAAAAAAGGCAAAAAAATCACCTTTTTTGACACTAGATTGATCACTCGAGTTGTCATTGTGTCGCCATTATACATTATTGATAAAAAAATTTACATATTTAGTGTAACTGAAACACTTTTGATTTTTGACCACCAAAAAGGTAAAAAGTAACACAAATGATATGACCGACCCCCCATTTTTGTGGATGTTTTAGAAAGAGGAACACATTTTCTTTTAATATTTTGTATATTTTGTCATTTCTTCCTTTAAATAATGCAAATGAATTGATATAAAGAGAAATAAAGAAAGCAGCACAATTCCTAAATATTCTTTACTAGTACTTCAAAATATAAGTTCATTGTATCATTAAACAAATATAACAGAAAAAATTACAAGTTGTAAAGTTGTAACGGGTATTATAAGTACTTCTCCTTTTAATGTTCGCCTATAAAAATATGTTTTTGAACACTTTAGAAATTGAATTTTCAATTTCTGACCTTTGTAATACTGATGAGTCCTTAATGGACGAAATAGCCATATAGAAAAGAAAAACGTTTGTATAAATTTCTGCATTTACAATTTACATTTTTAAATATTTTAGAAGGTGCCTCCTTTTCTTCATATTTGTAGTGACTATATAACGCAACACGGTGATTTATTCTGTTGGTGGACTATGAGTCCCAGAAGTGGGTCGTAGCCTGGACTGTGAGTCCTAGAAGTTGGCCGTAGCATAGACTATAAGTCACAGCAGTTGGCCGTAGCCTGGACTATGAGTCGCAAAAGTTGTCTGTATATAACGCAACACGGTGATTTATTCTGTTGGTGGACTATGAGTCCCAGAAGTGGGCCGTAACCTGGACTATCAGTCCCAGAAATTGGCCGAAGTCTGGACTTTAAGTCGCAGAAGTTGGCCGTAGCCTGGACTATTAGTCCCAGAAGTTGGCCGTAGCCTGGACTTTGAGTCCCAGATTTTGGCCGAAGCCTGGATTATCATTCCCAGAAGTTTGCCATAGCCTTGACTACGAGTCCCAGAAGTTCGCCGTAGCCTAGGCTATGAGTTCCAGAAGTTGGCCGTATTCTGGACTATGAGTTCCAGAAGTTGGCCGTAGCCTGGACTATCAGTACCAGAAGTTGGCTGTAACCTGAACTGAGTCCCAGAAGTTTGCCGTAGCCTTGATTATGAGTCCCAGAAGTTGGCCGTAACCTGTATTATCAGTCCCAGAAGTTGGCCGTAGCCTGAACTGAGTCCCAGAAGTTGGCCGTAGCCAGGACTATCAGTCCCAGAAGTTGGCCGTAACATGGATTATCAGTCCCAGAAGTTGGCCGAAGTCTGGACTTTAAGTCGCAGAAGTTGGCCGTAGCCTGGACTATTAGTCCCAGAAGTTGGCCGTAGCCTGGACTTTGAGTCCCAGATTTTGGCCGAAGCCTGGATTATCATTCCCAGAAGTTTGCCATAGCCTTGACTACGAGTCCCAGAAGTTCGCCGTAGCCTAGGCTATGAGTTCCAGAAGTTGGCCGTATTCTGGACTATGAGTTCCAGAAGTTGGCCGTAGCCTGGACTATCAGTACCAGAAGTTGGCTGTAACCTGAACTGAGTCCCAGAAGTTTGCCGTAGCCTTGATTATGAGTCCCAGAAGTTGGCCGTGACCTGTATTATCAGTCCCAGAAGTTGGCCGTAGCCTGAACTGAGTCCCAGAAGTTGGCCGTAGCTAGGACTATCAGTCCCAGAAGTTGGCCTTAACATGGATTATCAGTCCCAGAAGTTGGCCGTTTAAGTTGGCCGTAGCCTGGAATTTATCCTGGTACGGTTTACATGAAATACTAGTCTAAGTATATACTACTCTTGTTGCCTAATATTGTCAATGTGTAACGTTATGAGGGGTTGTATGGGCACCTGGCCCATCTGTTGAGTACACGTATGTTTCAGAATAAAGACATGGGTTGTTTATTCTTGTTAACTTCAGTATCACTGACGAGTACTTAATGGACGAATCGACCTTGATGCAGTAAAATGTTGACTTCGTTTAGCGTTCTTCATCCGCAAACCACATTTTTGAATAGTTGCTCCTTTTTCTTAGTATTTGTAGTGATAATTGTGCTAATTTGGCTACCGCTGTACCTCGGTTACTTTGGTGTATAGGGAAGTCAATAAATACTGGATCATTGTTTACACTATTATACGATTGGGATGTTCGTTTGAAACAATGCAAATTTTTGCTATTTTTAAGAAGCCAAATATGTTGTCTTTTACTACTGAAAGATAAAAGTCGCTAAAATGTTTAACATATTTCTTTATGTGCGGTACTGTAACATTTGCATTTAAAAGTACATGTATTTTCCTAGTTGTCATCACCAACCCTATTTATTAGGATCAGAAATTGACTGAGGAACATGAACAGACCACACGTCAATATGGAGTTTTATATAAACATTTTATTCCACTTTTTAATAAAATTGTGAGTATACAAACCATGTTCTCTACACTATAAATAGTAGTTTAACATTACTCATGCCTCGCTCACTGCTGTGCATA